GTTTGATTTAATATTATTTAACCTTCATTATATACAAATATTCTTAATATCGTTTTTTAGAACCATATAACACTTTAATCTTTAATTAAATCTAATAATATATACGAGTAGTATATATTGTTTTTGGTTGCATTTACATATAAATATTATATACAAGTAGTATAACTATATGTGCATAATAATATAATATTCATACATACAATACACATGTGATTGTGTGTATTCTATACGTCATATAAGTTTTTACTTATTCCGGTTCCGTTGATTGATTTCTGTGATGTTCAACGATATGGAAAAGAAAAGCAAAAGTTTCTAACTTCAAAATTTTATAGAGTAACTATACATGTTATATACTCTGTACATTACAATGAATAAATTGTAAAGATATCAAAACTTCTTCAAAAATAATAAAATAAAACCAAAAAAATATTGTTTTTTTTTTGTTTTAATAAAAGAAAAAGAAAAATGCAAGAAAATTAAAAAATAAAAAAAACAAAAAGTATGCTGAATAGTTAACTTACTTCTAAGTTATATGATAGAGGAGACACCCTTTAATAGTTGATTTTTATTTAATTCAGTTGACGAGATTTCATTTAACAATTCAGTACGGGATTCGATGTCACGGACAAAGTTTTTCTTACACAATAGTAAAATTATTTTCCTTTATTTTGGTTTTATTTTCCTCTATACTTGTAATTCGTTCATAAATTGTAATTAAATTACATATTTGCGGGGTTTTTTGGTAAAAACGTTTAAAGAAAAACAAAAAAAAACTTAAGCAAAATTGAAAAGTGAAATTTAAAATAAAAAACCCAAAATAATTTTTTGAAAGAAGAAATGTTATTTTCATTACGTTTTTTGCCTACTAATAAAATTTTATTTCAATATTGGATTATATTTATTTTAAATTTAACGTTTCTAAATAATGAAATTGAAGCACAATATGTGGAATACAATCCAGGACAGGTAATTTATTCATCGAAATAGCATACACATAGCCCACTCGAAATAGCATACTGGAACTGCGCCTAATATTAGAAGTGCCATGTTCTTAAGTCACTGTTGTTGGATATTAAAATTTATTATTATTAAATATATACAGTTTAACTTGTATAAGAGGAAGCGCGAAATTTTTTTCTTGCATTTCACACTTATTTAGTTTCAGCGTCGAGTATGTACTTCTAATTTTGACGGGGACTTTAATTTTTTTTAAAACTAATTGTAATTTTAAAAGTTTTTCCCTTATATATATAGTAAAACCTATCAGAAACAGAATTGCAAGGAACCGAAACTTCTTTAAGAATTAGACAGTTTTTATATTATACACAGATTTTTTGATCGTCCCGGTATTCACACTTTTCTCCTTGAGTTAATAAATCAAAAGAATAATGATAATTTTGATTTTGAAAGAAATATTTTGTCAAATATGCATCCTTCTTTAAAATAGGTTTTTTGCATTTCCTAAAAAAAAAATAATTTAACATTTTAAACCAAGATTAAAAATGTCTATACATTTTCAAGAAAATTGGGCTCCCCTCACCTCAGGATCAGGTTTTGATAAGTTTTACATTGTATATCGAATAATATGAATGTAAAAATGATTTAAATTATTAAAATATATAAAGGCAGTATACATGTTAAAACAGTTAAAAAGACTCAAAAGATGGAAAAGCTACGTAATTCGGCTAATACAAGTTCTCATCACGTACTTAGGTATCTCTAATCCAGATTCAACTAGATGCAATTTTGGGCACATATTTTGGAATATTCAACAAGATATTAAAAAAATTTATACTAAAATAACTTCGATTTTTGATTAGCAATCAAAAAAATAGTAAAAATCGATATACTAATTTAAATACTTATACATATAATTTTGATTCATTTTCAAATTAATTTCATAATTCCATAATCATTTATTTATTTTGATTCTTGCACTCGAATTCTTTTCATTCAAACACCAAAATACTTTTGAAAAATTTTAATAAACATAGTATATACATACATATGTAAGTATGTGTACGCAAATATCATTATGATTTTAGATGTAAAAAGGAGATATGCTTGATTGAATCATGTCAAAAATAGGGTAAAAATATTTATGACGAAAAAAAAATTAAATAAGAACTTACAAGACGTGCGCTTATTTTTTCTTCTTATAACACATTTTTACATATATTCTTATATTGTGTGTGATGCACATAAAATATATTTGAATATAAAATGTAAATCATTATAAAAAAATTTTAAAAATATAAATTACTAACTACATTTTATGTATTTTTCTTCTTTAAATAATTTCACTCAGAAAAAAAAATAATTAAAATTTTGAAGTTGAATTTCAAAGTAGAGCTGTAGGCAATTGCCAATATTTAAATTTTATTTTATATCGATATTTTTTGACAATTCGTTTGAAAGTTTTTTTAAAAATTTCAGAAGATATTTCTGGAAAAGAACCACTAAACCTTTTTACTTAAATATTGCAGTCATCTGTAATACATTCATATTTTGTTTTGCAATTTAAATTTTGCATTAGGTCATTCATTTAAGAGAGTATTTTTAGCACTTTTCCAAAATTTTTTTGAAAAAAAAGTGCTTATTATTTTCACTCTGTCCGTCCGTCCGTCCGTGCAATTTGTTGCAATGAAACCATAAGCATTTTTGAAATTTTGCAAACGCAGAAAGGCAGTGGCTGGCTTCCCCTAGCGCGGTATACTATAGTTAAACTTTAGAAAAACAAAATGGCCGTTCAAATTTACCGTTATCGAAAGTCCTTTTTTTCCAAATTTTTGATGTCGTTTATCTTCTAGACTCCAGCCTGTAGAAGCCTGAGTTTTCATTGTAAAATTTGAATTTTTGACACCTTATATTTCCGAAACCGCAAGCTTTTTCAAATTTCTATAAACGCAAAAAGCTAACGATAAATTCCATGACATTAAAAAATATAATTGTTTTTCTTAACTCATACAATTAACCCTTAAAATCGAGCATTATATTAACCCCCACTTTATACTAATTTTTGCTTTAGTTCAAAGACTGCATAAATCGTTTATCCTAAATATATGCAATCCTAGAAATAGTTTCGTTTATGAATGAAAATGATTTTAATAGTGTGGTGGATATACATAAATTGTTTTTAAAAGCAGTATTTTCACTTGTTGAAGGGAAAAGTGCTACAATACAAACCATTGGTTTGACCCAACTTTATTCAATTTTATTTTACAAGTTGCTTGAAGACCCTTACAAGTATTTTACTTCTTACTATCTATTTGAAGAATATATTATTTTTAAATTGTGCTAATTTTAAATTTTTGAAAATTGTTATATTAGAAATTTCATTAAATAATGTTATGAATATTGAAAATTTTAAAATTACAATTAAGTATCGAAGTCCGCCCTGTGCAAATTTTGTGGGGGTAGTGACGTGCACATCCTTTGCGACTGCCAGATACTGGTTGTCTGGCGGCACATTTTTTTGGACAGGGTTTCCTACGCGTTCGGGGACTGCTCTCAAACTCCCTTGGGGATGTCTTCAGTTTCATACTTGGAGCGGGGATATTGTAAGTGGGGTCGTGGGGAAGTAGCGAATGGCTGCGGTGATCCGGAGCACTCCCGTCCCACTCGGTTCCTTTAAAAAGCTACAACTCTATGGTAAAATATTGTAAGTTTATCACTTATACGTGAAATTTTATTTAATAATAGCGTTGTTTTACTTACTCAACTTTATAGTTAAGTTAATTATATTTTCATTATTATATATGTATGTATAAACTCAAAAATATCTTTTCCCCTTACATATATGTACATTATACAGTGTGTACATGCATTATTATAAACTATTAAGAAGTTAACAATCCGCGATATTTTTTTGTTTTTTATTTTATCTCACGATTTTCTTTCATTTTTTGTTTTGGTATGTAAAACAACAACATTATTTTGTATACCTACTTATAAATGATAAGAAACTTTTCTCCATCTAATATAAATTTTGATATCTTTTCATATTATGATTGTCATAGTCAATGAATAATTTAATAACTTACATAATAAAATAAAATAAATTATAATTTATAAAATAAAATTTAATAATCTTCAAAACAAAATTTTGTAATGAAATAAAATTTAAACAAAACAAAGTGTATTTATATACATGTGTATATACACATACATATACGTATACATATATTATATTTTATTGCACGCAATGAAATTTTATAGATCTATCTAACGGCATTGAACAGATAACTATTTAAATTGTCGTTATTTTCGTTTTAATGTACGTAACGTACTTACTTTATTCATATAAATTCGATGGTCCAAAAGAAAAATTGCTTAAATCGGAAAAATGTGTTTATTGAAGAAATTATGCTTAAAACTTAAATTTAAAAGTTTAGATCAAATCCTTAATCTTGTCAGGGTGTAGATTAAACAATCAGCAACTTAAAACATGAACCAATTTTTAAAAAATTTTCAAAAGTGACTATACAAAGCTAAAGCTGATTAAAGCATGTTGAAAAAATTTTCACATATTAAATATTAAACTATATAAAATTTATATCAAAATTCTAATAAAATAAAAACACATCCAAACTGGACTTAGGTAATTGTCTCTTGTAACCATCGTTATCGTAAATTGAATATAAAAACATTTTCTTAGAATCGAAAAAAAAAAGTTTAATTGTTAATGAAATTAATTAAAAATTTCTAATAATAATTTTGAATATAACAATTATTTCCATTGCACAATAAAAACTATCTAAATCACCTTATTTTTAATATTACAACATAATCGCAAAATTACAAACAGGGTGTATAATATAGAATCAAATTTTATTTGACAAATGAAAAATTATATTTGCATATACTTATGGTAAATAACCTTATTTAAAAAACAAAAATTTATGACAGTTTTATGACATATGTATTTTGTGACAAAAAAAAATAATTTGTAATTGTTAATTTTCTTATACTTATATTTATTAGAACAATATTACTTTTAGCCATACGGCAATAATCAAGAAGAAGCAATTCAATTCTTACATGAATATGATCGTGAAGCATCCGAAATGTGTAATAGATTGGCATCGAGTGAATGGCGTTTTGAAACAAATACAACCGATTTTAATCGTAGACGTATGAAAGAACAACAATCACTTGCATCAAAATTCGCTTGCATAAGTTGGCGGAAAGCTACTTCAATAAATACTGGCTTCACTATTGATGGCAATATAAGGAGACAATTTGATAGAATATTACGACAAGGACATTGTGGATTAGGGGAAGTTAAATATTTAGAACTACAACATGTTTTAAATTTATTAAAAGATAATTATAATAATGCAAAAATATGTCCTTTCCCAAATAACCGATTAACAGAAAATACTTATACACCATCAAATTTATATCCTATTCCAATAACAAATAATTATGTTAAAACGACAACAGGATATTGTGGATTAAAAATTAATGATTTAACCAAGTAAGTAAATGAAACCTTAAAGAATTTTAAGCTAATTTTATTCTTTAAATTTTAAGGATAATGGAAAATTCGAAAATTGAAGCTGAACTACGTTATATTTGGACAGCTTGGAGAGATGTAACTGGGCCTCCACTTCGTAATACATTTATGCGTTATGTGGATTTAGTTAATCAAGCGGCAAGAATTCATGGTAACTGAAAAAAAAAACTTTTGTTTAAAAAAAAATATTTATTGTAAAAATCATGTGTAATAACTTTTTAAAGGTTTTAGGGATGCTGGAGAACAAGCACGATCTCTCTATGAAGATCCAAATTTTTATTTTACTGTACAAGATCTTTGGCATAATATACAACCACTTTATAAACAATTATTTACATTTGTACGTCGTGCTTTAGTTCGATTCTATGGTCCACAAATAATTCGGCCCGATGGACCTATACCAGCACATGTTTTTGGTAATATGTGGGCGCAAAATTGGCAAAATATATTTGATTTAATAAAGCCGGGGCGAAAAGATACACCAAATGTAACAAGTGAAATGATAAGACAAGGTTATAATGCAGTACGGATATTTCAAGCGGCTGAAGAATTTTTTACATCAATGGGCTTACCGCCAATGTCAGCAGAATTTTGGCGAAATTCAGTGATACAAAAATCTAATGAAATTTACATGCAATGTTCTACATCAACCTGGGATTTTTGTAATAATATTGATTTTAGGTATATACATACTTATCATTTTATATATTTCTCGTTATCTGAACTCAAAATTTAATATTCAACCAAAATCAAATTATTTTGTTGTATAGAGTTAAACAATGTACAGAAGTAACGTTAGAAGATTATATTAATGCACATAAAGAACTTGCTCATATACAATATTTTATGCATTATGCAAGTCAACCACACATTTTTCATGATGGTCCAAATCCAGCATTTCATGAAGCCATATCAAATTCTATTGCATTATCAATTTCAAATCCAGTACATCTTCAAAGAATCGGTTTATTGGCAAAATCTTTTGAAACAGAAAGTGGTAATGCAATGGTTAGCATTGAATATTTATTATTTATAGCATTGAAAAAATTACCACTTTTGGCATTCAGTTTAACTTTAGAACGTTGGCGATGGCATATATTTGAAAAAGGTCCTGTTGGTATGAATAGACGTTGGTGGGAATTACATTTACGATATATGGGAATTATACCACCATTAATAAGACAAAATGAACATTTTGATGCTGGTTCTAAATATCATGTTATAGCAGATGAAGAATATATTAAATATTTTATAGCAACAATATTAGAATTTCAAATTTATTCTGAAATGTGTTCAGTATCAAATCATGTTGGTCCATTACATACTTGTGATGTATATAGATCTAGAGAAGCTGGTCGTATTTTAGTGTAAATATATATATATATATATTTAATTATAAAATTATTTTTAAATTTAAAAATTTTTAAATTTTAGAGATTTAATGAATAATGGAGCTTCCTTGTCAACTGATCAACTAATTAAATTTTTCACAAAAGGTAAAACATCAAAAATTTCAACAGATGCATTATTGGAATATTTTCAACCATTAAAAGCATGGCTTGAAATTCAAAATCGTGATGAAAATGTAATAGGATGGAATTCCAATCTAGATGATGTAGGTCTATTCCAAATGTTAAAAAGTTGTGCAAACAAAAAAATAAATTATATGGTATCTAGTATAGTTTATATTATAAATTTAATTATTATGTTTAATTTATGAGAGTTGTAATTATGATAATGTTACATAAAATAAGTTATTTACCAAAAATATGGATTTAAATATTTACAAAATTTTTATATATAATTGAGCTAGATTGAGCCCTTCCAGATTTTGTTTGGTTTGGAACTAATATAAATTTTTAGAAAATCAATTAGAAACACAAGATTGGAAAGTATATGTACTTGGAAGCAAAGTAAAAGCGTATCTGAAAATCAACATATGTAATTATGAAAAGAAAAGCAATTAAAAGATAAGCCAATAAAAACGAATGAGCAATGAATGCCAGAAAATTAAATAAATTTCCAATTTAATTAAAAAAACAATTTTTTGAAACATGCAATTGCCATCTCTTATAAAGGTTGGCCATCTCAATTTTTTTTTCAAATTATTATTTTAAGGAATCATTCTAAAGAATATTGAATTGAAAAACATTTTTGTTTATTTTATAAAAGAATTTATTAAAAATGATGAATCATATAAATTGTTATTAATATGAAAAATTTTAATTAAATAAAAATAATTAATTTTATATTAATATTTTCATAAATAATTCACCTGATATGCTAATTATAAATAGAAACTTTTAACAATTTATAAATTATTAAAAATTTTCATCACCCAAAACAAAAAATCAAATCTGTCGTTTTCATAATTGAAAAGACGAAAATACAAAATTATAATAAAATTAAAAATTATATCTACATAATGGTCGCTGTAATTAAATACAATTTATGCGCCAGTTATAATTTTAGAAAAACAATTAATTGAAAATAATTCAGCAATATTAAGAGTACAATCATTTTTAAAATTACATTTTACTTATAAGATTAATTGTTATTGGTCGAAGGAATAATGAACAAATTAATATTATTAATGTAATTGCTTTATTTAATTAGTAATCAATTATCATAATTAATAAATTGTTAATATAATTTACTAAATACCATAATTCATCAAAGAAAATTTTGATATGAGCTCAAGTTATTTAGTACCATAGTTTGTATAAATAGCCACTTATATTGTTTTAAGAAGAATTTCAATGGCTACATTATCTAACTATTTATGGAATCATTTATCAGAAACATAATTATAATAAAAAAGAAAATTGACTTAAATCGAGAATCATGCACATTAACACAAAATTTCATTAAACTTGGTCAGTTACAGCAAATTCCGAAGTCTAACAGGTATGTGATGAAAATATCTCTAAAATATTCTAAAAATTGTTAAGTTAAAGAAATATTCTCTATGTAAATTACAAGATTTACTGGTAATTATTGTATACTAATACTTCTTATATTATTTAATTTTATACTAAATTTTCTTTTATAATATAAAAATTTGAAATTAAAACAATATTAATTTTCAATAAAAAAACCGGCAGAGCTTATGCATATGCATATTAATCGTAAAATATGAAAATAAAAAGATTTTTATATACAAAGAACAACCTTCATATTAATATTTTAATAATTTTATAAAATGTTCGAAAAAGAAAATTCACATCTCAAGTCAAAAATCATTTAACCAGAAATATCAAAAGATAATCATATTGTCATCTAAAATTTGTGGTAGCCAAAAATTTTATAGAATTCTAATTACTTTTTACGAATTTATATATATTTCGAATATGATTCTTACAGCTTGAAGAAGATAATTAACAAGACTACTAAATATATTAATAAAAATCACGCGTACAATGTACTTAATATTGAAAATAAGAGATAGTTCTTTGACCTTTTAAATTTTAACATATGTATGCAACAAGAAATTTATTAAAGTTTAATAAAACATATAAAGTTTTTGTGAATTTTAATTTTTCAATTACATAATGTTAAAAACAATAGCAAACAAATTTATTATTATGTATTTACATACATAATTAATAACAACAAGACAAAATTCATGTAAAATGGATTTGGGATATTGGAATACTTGCAAACTTTATAAACGAAAAATCTTAGCCAAGAATTTTTTTCTGTTTGCTTTTTAATGTCTAAAATTAAACATTAGTATGTTGCTTAATAAATTTCAAAAATAGCAAAATCAAAATTTTTATGAGAGAATATTCCCAGATTTTCACGCAGATACATACATATATTTTTAAGCATGTTTAGAAAAATAAATTAAATTTTTAAACTGTATGTTTTTTATCCGGCTGTTCATTATACACTGGTAATCGTATTACATTGAAAGAACACCATTTACTTCTATATAAAAAAATAAATCTTACATATTTTACTTTAAAAATTATTGAAATTATCCCCTTCATATTCTTTCAATTTCCATTCACAATTAATTCAACAATAAAGAAATTGTTTATATTTCGTTATTTTTCCTCTTCGCTAGTCCAAAACATTCTTTTGAACTTTTAATTTTGCTAATTGCTATCGCTTTTTGTGCCATTAATTTTCTAACATGTTACTCTACATATTATAAAACACGAGAGTAATTTTTATTTGTGTGACAGACAACTCTAATTCAGCCGAAATTAATAATATTGGAACTAGTAAGTTGGAAAGCAATTTAAGTGTTTTTTTCAAAGCATACATAAATTAATATTATCGCAGATAATTTACAATGGTTATGTGTGATTACAATTTCCTAAAATTTCTTGAATGAAATTTAAATAAAAAATTTTAAATCATTTTTTTAATTGTTAGTTTTATTTAAAACGTATTTTAATATAACTTTATTGTATCTATAAAAGAAGAGAGAATTATATTTTTAATTCAATATTGTTTTTCAATCTTATTTAATAAAACGTCTTTTCCATGTGGTGGTATATTTTAACACGAATATTGCTTTTATAAAACCAGGAAATTACAATAAAAATAAACAAAATAATTTTTATAAATTTTTCGTTTACTTATTTCAATGTTATTATTTATAATAATTTATAATAATTCACAATATAACTATTTTGATAACTAAGTGCTTGCATAACAGTCTATTAAAATTGTTTAGTACTACGTTATTTTTTCTGCAAATTTTCCAAACTATTAAAAGAATAAATCAAATAAAAAAAAACAAGAGTAAAACATTAAGAAGATTCGTAAATTCGGCAAAACATGAAAATTTTAATAAATAATATAAAAAATAATTTAAAATTTAATTGGCTAGTCTAGACTAGTGTTATTTTTTATATCTAATTACTTTTTTTCTTGTCAATCCAAAATATATCATTGCATGGATTAACTTATAAACTTCGTAATTTTTTTTTTGTTATTTACAAGTACGTATAGTAAAATATACAAAATGTTTTTTTTTTCAAATTAAATATATTAACAATTTCTTTCTTGTTATTGTTATATACAATGAAACGTTTAGTCTTCCTTCTCAATCATTGGATTTTCTGTAACTGTGTCTTTATTTTCAATATCTTCACTATTTCCAATATTTTGCTCATAAATTTCTTCTTCTACATCTTTGTTAATTTCTTTCGTTGCTAATTTTAACTTTTCATCTTCTGTATCTGAGCCTTTAAAAAAAAATAAGCAAAAAAAAATTAATGATTTATTTCAAAGTTATTACTCATGTAAATAATTAAAATACGAATTCTAACCAGAGTATTTATCAGAAGACGAAACTTTTTCACTATCAGTACTTTCATCTCTCTGCAAACTACTGACAGTGGCATTTTGACTTAAATTGACATTAGATCCAGTAGTTTCAGGTAATTTTGGTGCTACCGGTCGAGACTTCTTAGAAGGGTTTATTGCATTACAATAAACGCACCTAAAAGGCGTATACTCATATTCATCTTGTAACGCCATTCCTACAAATATAAGTAATATTAATTTTGAAGGATATGTGCATACATATATTATAAATATAATTCATTGCAAAAAGTTTTACCATTATGACTGTAACATTCTTTACATATCATCGCAAAACGATTTTGAATGCCATCACCTATTAAATAATCGACAAATTTATCTAAAACACTTTTATTATGTGGATTAATAAAAGGAAAAGGTGTTCGTCTTCGAATTTGCTGTTGCATTTGCATTGGCATTGGTGATGCTCTTTGTTGTATGGCTTGTAAATGCGAGAGAGGAGTTGAAGGCGACGATATTCCCCCAGGCGTATTTGGAAATGCTAACGGACCACGTACAAGCTGCGGTTGCTGTTGGCTAACGGGAGTTGATCTACGAATCAAAACTTGTGACTGTGAATTTGGCTGTTGCTTATTTTGTAAAGGCGACTGTTTGGCAGGAGTAGACACTGATTTAAAAGAAAAAAAAAGTTCCTTTACCTGCATTTCAAAAAAAAAAACAAATACCTTCAATTTTTGGCGGCATTGGAGTTGCTCCTTTTAGACCATTAGATTTGTCTCCAAATCTATTTAAAATTTCTAATGCAACCTTAAAAAAAATTAATATTTTCCGATATGTAATAAGAATACTAAAACTAAAATTCTTTAAATTTACCTTATAGGTTTCTTTATCCATAACTTTTTCTAACACCTTTTTCTTCTCTCCTCTTAATTTTTTTAATTTTATCGATTTATCATTTAACTTTCTTTGGAAAAACCACGCAACGAGGTGTTTTAATAGGAAAATTCTAAAAACAAAATTGATTATGTTGAAATTCATGATAATTATTTAGATGATTTTTATATGACTACATTAAATTATTAAAGACTTACACAAACGGAAATATTAATAAAGGAACTGAATATGTTACACGTTCCATCCATGTTGGCGGAAAAAATGCAAAATAAAATACTATAAAGCATAAAATATATAATCCTATTGAAATAACTAATAAATTTCCAACATATCTTTTTTGTCTAGCTTGCGTTGATATTGTATATTCTTCTATCTCTTTTATCTCTTCATCCAATCGCTCTAATATTTCAATTGTGGTTTTTTCTTTCTACAAAATTGATAAAAGGAAAACATTATTAATTCATACTAGGTATATAACAAAATTCTATTGATGTATTCACAAAAATATTGCTTCATTATTTAATGCTCCAACTCAAAATTAACTAAGCCCTTTTTTCTTATCAAAATAAATAACTAGAATTAGTTAAATAACTACAAAAATAGAAGCAAATCACTATAGAATCTTGATAAGCAGGTTCTTAAGACTTTTAATCGAGTTTTCAGATCCGGAAAAATTTTTATAATTTAATTTGTAAAATAAAGCAAACATGATTCATGTTTTAAGATCCAACATGGTCAGGCAAGTATACATTAATAAAAATAATATTTATTTCCTATTTAAAATTTAAATCCATGTTAAAGCTAAAGCATTTTATGTGAAAGGTTGTATATAAAATTTGAACAAAATGACCTTTAAATAGATTGGCACGATTGTTTTTGTCAATTTCAATTTTTTTATATGAAATGTTTATGAATATTTAGCATTTTTCAAGTAACTTGAATTTTCCAATTGCCTATGTGGGTAGGTGCCTTCCTAGCTCAAATTTTTTATTTTTACGTAAAACAATATCTGGTTAAGATACATATGTATGTAAGGTATAAAAACACACAAAAAATTTTAGTCACTATTTAAATTTGGAAATCATGTTTTTCTTTATACGATGTACTTTGACAAAGAGTTTTTACATTAAAAAACAACTCAAGCAAGAAAAAAATGTAAATATCTTACCCGAAACTTTGCAAGTATAGCCCCCATGTTGCATATGGTCTTTGTTTTTTGTGTACAAAAATTGTAAGACCACACGTCTATAAATATTCATATATGCTTTATACTTAAAGCTATTTTTAGATATTTTCCTGTCAAAATTATTCAATATTTCTTATTTTGTTTCACGCTTTCCACTTGCATTACTTTCGGAAAATAATTATTTTTATTTCATACGGTTTATGATTTTAAATGCACTTAGTTTCTTGTTTTTGTTGTTTTTTTTTTTACCTTTAAAAATAAATAAAACTTTTATATTTAAATGATGGCATTTTAAACTTTAAAAGTTCATTAACACCATATTGGTGAATTTGGATTACTAGATAATTAAAATATTATAATTTTATTTTAAATTTTATAGGTATTTTTTTTTCTTCTTTTCCTTGCCTTCGCTTATTGAACAAAATGGTAATATATTAGCAAGTGCCGCCGCGTCACTGCCGCTATTAGAAAATAATGTAATCTTTTCGTTTTTGCTTTTTGGCTTTACATTAAAATGAAAACAAATATGACGTTTTAATTTCGAAAAGAACTTTATATGTTTACGGATAGTTTATATTTTTTTATACAAGAGGCAGCACTGCTCTTTAGATAGAGTCGATAAACTAAATTTTGTTTTTATGCTACTAAATTGAAATTGCACATTTTCAATAACCTTATGAGTTTTGAAATTTGCAAAGGATTTAGATAAAATATAAAAAGCATTTTAATTATCCAAGTAAGAATCAAATATTTTTATTTGAATATTCTTTTTTAAATACAAAATTTTCAATTTTCGATTTTATATTCAAACAGTGATTGCAAAACTGAAATTGCATGTCTGCCAGCACCTTACTTAAAGATAAGTGTTTGATTTACAACTCTAAGCTCTTGTTATAAATACTAAGCTCTTGTTGTAGAGGCAATCAAACGTTGTAAATATAGCAAATTTAAATTAGTAAAAGCTCTAAAAAAAATCTAAACGTGTAAAATATCAAATAAAAATTAATTCCATTTTTTTTCGGTTTTGCTACCTCTAGTTTTAATTACAAATTACGGAAGTTACTTACATTTTTCCAAATACAAGGAAATATTTTGTGCCATTAATAACAATATAGGTATATTATATAGTTACTCATTTGTTTTTTATTTTATAATTTTATTTTGATACAAACATTACATTTTAAATTTTCTATAAGTAGTATAAACAAGTTGCATATTGATAGGGCTGTTCCTTTAAGCTCTTATTTTTAAAGTTCGAAATTGCATTGCAAAACTTAAAACAAAGCAAGCATTTGAAATTTGAATGTCATTAAACGTCAAAACATTAATTTATGTAGTGTGCGTAAAATCAAAAATTATCATTGAAAAAAATCTAAAGAGAAGGAAAAATAATAAATTTTATATTCATCAAAATATTATTTTAATATTTATTTGCTATATTCTTTCAAAGATTTTGTACTAATTAAAAAATACTAATGGAACAAATAAAAAAGCACGACATAAGATATAATAATAATATTAATTTTGAGAAAATATTTTAATTGAAAATAACGCTGTTATATAGAAAGGAGTAAACTTAAAGAATTTCCAAAGATAAAACATAAAATTAACTTTTATTTAAACCTAACTATTTTATTCGTATAAGACATAGAATTATTTGATCATTAGAAAATGTTTATTTTGGCATTAATTATAACATTGCAAAATGTTTTTATTGGTGGTCACATGGTAAAAAGTGATATGATTGACGGCATATTAGATATTGTCCACAGAGGTGAGAGTAGCGTTACTGCAGAAGATCATTTGCATGCTGAAACTCATCCCAATATTAATTCCGAAGACAACAGTCTGGTATCAGAATTATATAAAAGTTTAGCGTTTTACCCACCAACGCTTAATTTTGGTTCGGCGCCAATTGGTTCTCCAAAATCTCAAATGGTGATGCTAGTCAATAAAAACACAAATCGTAGTGTATATCTAAGTTCAATATCAGGAAAAACAGCAACATTTTATAGCTCTTTTTTCGAAGATAAAATCGTACCTCCTCAAGGGAATACAACATTCAATGTTGTATTTTTACCAAGAACATATGATAGTGTGCAGACATCTCTACTAATTCATACTTCTTTTGGTCAAGCTAAGTTACTCGTCAAAGGCCAAGGTTTCATAATTTATTTTCTTTAAAATTATTTTCTCGTAATACTTTATGATTTGTAGGGAAAGAATGTCCTTATAGATTAAAACCATTAGTGGGAATCAAGTCACCTTTTAATGCAACTTTGAGGCCAGAAATACTTATGTACAATCCACATTCGAAACCTATTCAAATATTAGAGGTAAAATTCAAATTTTTCCAAAAACAAAAAATATAATAATTGGTAATATAAAAAATGTAAATTATAGGTTTATAGTAGCGGTGGACAATTTCAGTTAGAATTACCAAGTGGAGGTCAAGAAGGGCCTCAGGCACTCTGGGAAATCCCACCATTATCAACAAAACCTGTTATACGAATAAAGTTTCATGCAATAGCCCCCGGAAATCATACTGCATACATTAGAATAAAAATTTCTTCAGAAAGTGAGTCGACTAAACTTACAGCATCTGGAAATTTAACTTCTGAAAATTTGGAAGATAGTAAAAAAACAATAATTGTAGAAGATAATCATATACTTGTTGTACCAGTAGAAATAGAAGTATACGAAAATCATGGTATATTTTCCTCTAATCCTGTAATAGATTTTGGCCGTATCACAACAACGGAAGAAATAAAATCAATAAAACTAAATTTAACTGATTCGACAGGAAAGCAGTCTTTTAAAATTTTAGACTATCAATTAAAAAATGTTAATAGTCTAATAAAAATTGATAAAAATAATTTAAATTTAACAATTAACCCAAAAAGTGCTAAAACGAATTGCATAATTAATGGGGAATTAATATTACAACAGACATTAAGTGATATGGAGGTATCTAATAACTCATTTAATATTTCAGTCCCTGTTAGAGCTGAAATTTTCAAAGGGTCGCTAGATTTTAATTCAAGTTCTACAATTTTTATAACGGGATTTAAAAATTTTACAAAAGCAAAAAGATTTTTTTGGGTTGAAAATAAATTTGATGTACCTATAAATATTATAAATTATGCAGTGGAAGTGAATGTAACAAATGTATATAGTATTGTAGAGTTACAAAAATTTCCCATTACAATACAACCAAGTCAGAAGGTCGATCTATTTAGTATAAGTATATTAAATGAAACATCAACATTAAATTCATTTTTGCGAATCGCAACTAATTTAACTGTTCATGAAATACCATTTATAATAGCAAGTGGAAAACTACAAATGCATACATCTTTTGATCAAGAAAGTTTAATTTCATTACCAGATGCAGCCACTCTCGATTTTGGTACAGTACCTTATGGTGATTATTCTCATTCAGGTTTTATTTTACTAAAAAATTTAAATCCATTTCCTATACCAATTCTTGAGTGGAATATAATTGCACCAACGGGGGTTAATTATCATTCAACATTTTGGGGTTGTTTAAGAAGAGGAATATTTAATGATATTACTAAAATAAGTGAAGAAATCGAGATTAGATCTAGGTCGATTCAACGTGAGGAGTTTACTATGTGCCAAAACATATCGTCGAATAATATGGCCGTATTTAGGTTAGGTGTCCAATCTTTCAATGTAAAGGCATTTTCCGCATTATTTAAAATATGGACTGAATTTGAAGAAATAGTTACCAATGTAAAATTTGTTACTGTGATGGGTAGATTGGAGATTGATCAAAGTAAGCTACATTTTAGCGACTGTTTCCCGGTAAGCTGTTTAAATTACATAAATTTTGATTTATAGAGAAAAATAATATGTGTGTGGATTTTTTAGGGAAAACGATGTTCTGCAGATATATCAATTCATTCAACATTTCTGAAAACAATGGGAGTAAATGCTATTACGGTTAATGTTCCTGGTCTAGATTTTGATGAACCTAGTTTTCCTAACATAACAGCAAACGCAATAACAAACCTTGGCCGGATATATTTTGATCCCAAAGCAGTTTGTGCACAAAATTGTTACATTCCTTATGAAACATTAAATTTTGATGAATCAGAACTTAGAAGACGTACAGAATTATTTAGACGATTTAAATGGAATTTACAACAAATTGTATTCAAGTTAAATACAAGCGAGGTTCGTTTGTTTGAATTTAAGTCTACTGTAGATATTATATGGCCTAAATTAGTTAATGGAATTCAAACTTTACCGACTGTTGAGGTAGGGCAAGTTTATAGTGCTAAAATACGAATAAGCAATCCTTCAGATCAACCTATAATAGCAGAAATAAATTTATCAGACCCTCGTAAAGCAAAAGCTACGAGGCTTTCATTGCCTTTAGAAGTAGTCGAAATATGTGTACATTGTTACTTAACTGATCAAGACGTATTTCAATTAGATGATAAAAAATTATATATAGAACCTAATCAGTATCAAGAGGTTGATATAAGATTCAATCCAGTAGATCCAGGTGTTTTTTCTACATTATTACATATACGTAATAATTTGACACTTTATGAAGCTGTTTGGATAACTACAAAATCAGTTCAGCCTCAATTTCGCTTCGGAAACCGAAAACCTGGCTCTTTAACACCCTTGTTATTTGAAATTAATGAAAAACATTTAACAAGTTGCGAAGAAGCAGTTCAAAATAAAGATAGAATTGAATTTTTGAAAAATTATAAAGCCAAAGAACAGGAGGACGTTATTTTACGTAAGGTTATAAGAATGGTTAGTACTAAGAGAACTTTTACTGCACGCAACACAGGAGAAGTACCTATTTGGATAGAAAACTTTCAAATTGGAGATAAAATTTGTGAAGGTTATGGATTCAAAATAATAGATTGTAGTAGTTTTGAACTAAAAGCAAACTCTTCAAAGAAAATTGATATAGCTTTTACACCTGATTTTACATCAGCTAGAATAACTTTACCGTTAATATTAAAAACAAATCTTTCATATTCTGTGAATTACACATTAGTGGCAACTATTCCTTCTGGGTCATTAGAGCAGTGCTCCAAAATGTTAATAATAAGACCAGGCTGGGAATATTACATACAAAAAATGTCAATTGTTTCTTTAGTTGTAGCTTTTATACTTGTTTTGGTTGCGGCATTTTTTGAATCAGATAAAATTCTTAAAGATCACGTAAACAATATGGCAAAAGATAAAGGTCCCGTTCTTCCTGCACTAGATTTACGAAATATAGCAATGCGTTGTAGCACAGAAAAGGAAGATAACAGCGTTTCTGCTGAAGCAAATAGTATAGCTAATGCAGATAAACATCAAGTCTATTCAGGTTAAAACTAATTTGCTTTTTAATATTAATATATCCATACAATTCTTAATATTTTTAGGAAATGGAAAAATCAATGTTAATTTGAAGAAACGAGCCTCAAAAAAAGTGTCAAATGGAAATACATACTCTGGAAATGTTATCAAAGATAAAACTTGGGCCGAAGAATTGGTTAAAAATTTTTCAGTTTCAGCTGCAAAAAAATTAGATGATCAATCTAACAACAATACGAAAGGTTCAGCCGAAAAACTTACGAATTATGGAATGTCAAATTCTACAAAAGCGAAAGATTCAATTGGTGAAAAAGTTACTCCACCAAAACTTACAAAGTTAAAAGAGCCATCTCTAGATCAAAAATCAAAAGAGAACAAAAAATTTGTTGAACCAACTGAAAAAAAACAAAATTCAGATTCTTATGCAGACAGTAAAAGATCAAGATTTGCATTAAAAAAGACAAAATCAGCTCCCCTACCAGCTTCGAATGATTCATCTAGCAATACTTCAGGCTCTCCTGTAAATCCTTATAAATGTGATATCGAATCAAAATTAAAACCTAAATTAGCTAAAGAAAAATTACCAGATGTTGTTAAGCAAACAGAAATTGCATTTTTTAATAAGAGCGGAAGTAGTACAACAAATATTAGTGATAACGAAGATTTATTGGGATCTACTGATGTCCACAGTTTAAGTGATAACAAAACAAGTGATTCAATTGGTAAAAAGTATGGTAAAACTCCTGGAAGAGAAAGAAAAAAAGATACTGAAAAAATATCGAAACGTTCTGAAAGAAAAGTGCCAAAGTTTAAGGGTAATGCTTTCCAATTTACTTTGCCTATTACTTCAAATGGTAACTCAAGCATGAATCCTTCGAACAAATCATCTAATGACATAAATTTATTGAATAATGTTTGGAGTTCCAACCAAGCCAGTTTTAGTCACGTTGTTGCACAAAATGGAAGAGCTTCTCCTTATTCAGAAAGTAATCAATTGCTAAACACAAATGATATTAAATGCGATTTCGATGGCAAAACATCGGAAGAAAATTTTATTTTTGGAACTTCCATTTTTAACGACTACAATGATTGGAATGAAGCTGATTTGAAAAATCATGAAACATTTGGGTGTGATCAAAATGAGGAAAATAAAAGAAATTCAGTTGATCTAGGTCCTATCGGCACAAGAAAATCGCCATCTTCAACACCAACAGTTTGGGAACCACTGCAACAAGCTATTTTAGAAAACCCTAAACCCTGTCTATCTAATATAAATTCTTCAAGTATGAATAATACTAGTTTTTTTTCTAACACTTTTTCGAATGGGAATAATTTCGATTGTTTGACACCCAATTCTTTTGGTGGTAATGGCTCTTTAATAATTTCATTTTATTTGAATATACTAATTTTTTTTTTAAAACTTAGGTGATCCTACCGAACTATTGAATTTGTTAAACACAAATAGATGGCAATCCGATGAAATATTTTTAACCTTGCTTCAACAGCAGCAGCAACAGCAACAACAACAAATTAAATTACAACCTAACAATTGGCCATTAGAAGATAATCGACGTTGGACTCCAATGGGTTACCAAAGTGAACGTAATAATATTTCTGCAATTTGGACACAAGAACAACAGGCGCAATCAAACCAATCCCAATCTGTGGGTTCATCTCGTCCCCCACCAGGTTTAAGTTTACCTAAACGAGATTCTCCATCATCCCAAATGGAAAAACAATTACAACATCAACAACAAATTCAACAATTTTTAATGCAACAACATCAGCAACAACAACAACATCAACAACAACAAAAACAGCAAATTCACTCACAAAACAACATGAATAATTTGCCAAATATTTCGAATTCTCAATTATTTCAACAGACGTCTCAAAACTTGTTACTTCAACAACAGCAACAAAATCAACAACAACATTTACTGCAACAACAGCAACAAATGCAACCATTCGACCCATTTCGATCTTGGAATTCGGTTTGGTCAAACACTTTTACTAAAAATAATGATGTTAATAAGCAGTAAAATGCAAAATATACCTTTTAATAGTAGGCACTTTTTGCTAAACTAGTATTCCCTAATTGATATTAAATATGTAATATATTTTAAATTTGAGTCCCTATCAATTTTTATGTGGAAAGATGTGTGTTTTTTTTTTTATAAAAATGAATGAATGAATATTAATTTTACATTTAATTATAGTTATTTTTTATTCTTTAAAGATTTGTATAAATCATTTTTTTTTTTTGAATTTTTCTTATTAGTTTTATCCCATTTAAACGTATTGAATTTCCTGAGATTAATTTGTAAAAACATTTTGAATTGGTAAAAACTTTTTAATAGTTCTATTAAAACAATAGAAAAAAAAAAGCAAATTAAAGTTATTTGCAAAATTAGTTCTGAAAAACGAACGCCCTTTCTTATTATTTTAATTAACAAGACCCCATCGAACTAAATTTATATTTGTCAAAGACGCTCAAATAATAAAAAAGGTTATAATTGTTTATATAACATCTCATTTTTTAAATAACATATTTTATTTTTAAATGGAAAATAATATTTATTTAAAGCTTTGTTTATGGAAAAGATTTTTTTTTTAAAAAATTACATTGTTTGTTTTAGCATTTCTTGTAAATAAATTGCAATTTTGACATCTTAAAAATTTAATAATTATTACATAAGAAATATTATATGAATGTAGAGATGTATCAGAAGATAATATTAAAATGACAAAAAATTTTACCAATTTTTTAACTTAGAGTAAAATTAATTAAAAATGAAGCTGGTTAAGAATTAAATCATTGATGTAATAACGTTTTATATCTTGAACAAAAGATATGAAGATAATCTGAGCAAATATGTAATTTGTATCTGAATAAAAATTAAAAAGAAAAGAATTGATATGAAAATAAAAAAAAAACAAAATAATTCATAAAATAAAAGAAGAGATTAAAAGAAAACTTAAAATAGTTATTTCTTATTTATCAAATTAAAATGAAAAAAAAAATACAAAGAATTTTTAACCTTCCAAGAGTATGAAAAAACTATTACAACTTGATAAGGATAAATTTTTGAATTCAAAAGTAAAAAAAAAACTGTACAAAAAATCTTGCATCAAAATTAAATACTGAGATATTTGGCTTATTAATTCAGCATCTTATGGGTAAAAGAAATGTATTTGGGATCGATATATAAATACGACAATATGAAGTGAATTGAATGTAAAAAATTGAAAAATAAAATTTTATCTTAAAAGAATAAGTTGAATTAAGAATTACATTTTCAGTTTAAATTTTAACTTAATATCTAGAAGTACAAATCTTTGTATCTTTGTACAACGTATAGATAAAACCATTGCTTATATCTTCAAACATTGCTACAAATAAAAATTATCCACTATTTCTGAAATAAAAAATTATTCATATTTTCTTAAAAACTCTTAAAATTTCCAAATTTATTTTGCTTCATTTTTCTCACAAAAATAAAAAATCAAAAACAATAAATATTTACATTTTTCAATTTTTCTGTTTAATTCAAATTCGTAAAATATTAATTGTAATTAATGGAAAAAAAAACACTAAAAGCCAAATTATATTCATATTTTTGTGATTAAAAAAAAAAAAACTAATTATTAAATTAATATTCAGAAATTAAATATTCTTAACAAGAAAAAGAAAAACTTAATTCACTTATGGTAACAATGTTTTATTAAGAAGACACCTCTAACAAATTATTTATTCTTATTTAAGTTTTATACATATTAGAAAATATATAAATTAATTCTATAGAAAATCTTATTCATAATTTTCATAAGCCCGTTTTTGTGCTAAACGCCTTGAACGTCTTAATTTCGATGGGTCTTCTGATGACATTGATTGGCGTCTTTTTAATTCATTACGCCTGAACACGACTAAATTTACATGAGAATCCCACTAAAATTATATTAAAATTTATTGTAAGTGGAAAAAAATTTATTCCTTGAATGAAATTCCTAACATAAAAATTTAAAACTTACAGAGCTCGAAATTATTTCATTTCTTACTGGATGCCAATCGAGATCACGAACAAGATCTTTATGACCATCAACCGTTTGTTTTATACATCCGGTAAGTACATCATATACTGTATACAAAGAATTACAGAGAATTAAAAGAAGAGTAACACATAAATACCCATTATATTAAAACAAATGAATTTTGTATTTTACTTATAATACGACCCGTCCCACAACCGCTATATATGTAACGTTGCCCTGTCGTTTCTTTGGGTGAGAATTTTGCTCTAATTAAAGTTTTTGCTACTCTATGACCCCGATAAGTCATTATACTTGAATCTCCATCTAAGTTTTCAGTTGGATTATAAACTAAAAATACATATGCATAAAAGATACAATTTAAAAGTAATTTAAAATATTAAAGAAATAATTTTACATTCTGCAGGCACTCTGTCAAAACGGTAATCCCAGCTATTAATTACTTTGACTACTGATTCTTTTTCCCTTGGAGATGTTCTTCGTATATCCCATAACTTAATACTTTGATCTTTTGAATTTGTTAAAAAGTGTCTATTATCATTTGCTGGATCTATATATGTTATTCCATCCAAATGGCCAACAAACAAACCCACTGATAAATCTGGTTTACCAGATGTAAAGCATCGTTTGTCCCACAATTTTATTACACCAGATTCACATCCACTAACAAATATATTTGGATCATCTCCAAGAAAACTAATAGCATTGGTATCGTTGTATCCATTAGTATCAGTCTAAAGATTTTCAACAGATTTGTATAAGAGATTACATTTGAACTTCCACTTTATAAAAATTAAATCTAATTACCGTTAGCTTGGCTACCCTTCGTCCCACCGTCCGATCATACATATGGATTGAAGCTTCATTTGAACCACCAACCAAAAAATTACCACAAGGTGAAAAACGTACTGAAAATATGCAGGTACGAATACCTTCAGGATTCATATGATGCCAATGAAATTCATCATTGCCTCGATCATGTAACGGAACCGTAAACACTAAAATTTCAAAAAAAGAATTATTATATGTGGTAACATTGTGCCTACATTTCTTACCATAGTCTGACCATGTTGAGTAAACAAAATATTCGCCACAAGGACTAAAATCCAAGTCTACTATACACCAGTGTACTTCTTGGGCTTGAATTTTATTAATTCTATGATACGTTCCTTTCGAAGAATCAAACACTCTAATAAAATGATCTATAATTAAAATTATTTTATGTTAAACTTATCAAAGCAAATATGTGTATTTATTTTTAGTATTCACCTTGACTTGCAATTACAAGCCTACTACCAATTTTATTAAATTTAGCGACATAAACTTGTCTATTTAGAGACATTAAACGTTGCGATTTATGATTTGGAATGTACAAATTAGATATTTGGCGATACGTATTTGTATGTAATTGTCCAGCTGGTTTTCTTCCCAAACCATTTTCCCGTTCTCTAATTAATTTTTCCAAAGACCATCTATCATCGGGTAAACTATTATCAGCTACCATATCACAATTTCTTTTGATTTCACGATATAATTCTGTATCCTATAAAATAAATTGCTGGTTACAGACTAATTCTAATGATGCTTATTTAATATCATTATTTTGTATTCGGTTACCTTAAATGTACTTAAATCTGGTCGTTTTCGTATAAAGGGCATTTTTTTGTTTGTACTGCTATAGCTCGGAACAGGATTACTTGTAATTATGCTAGAAATACTAACAATAAGTCAATATTATGCATTAATTTTTAAAAGGAATACGTACCCATGAAAAGATACATACCTTCGTAAATAATGAATGAAACTTTCATCGGTTCTAAAATTATCATCAGAATCAGATATATCAGAAGGAGCTAGAAAAACATTAGGAAATTAAAGGAAGTATTTCTAGACATTTAAAAAAATATTAGGAAATTATTCTGAAAACTCGAAAAATGGTAAAGAATCAACTTTTATGTTAAAGGATAAAAGTAACTAGTTTCTAATTTTTATATTTACAAACCAGTTACCCATTTGTGTTAGTAATATAGGTATTATGGGTGTTTATCAAATAAAACGATATGTTTATGATTCTTGAGGATAGTTAATATTGAATAATTTATGCCATAAATGTAATTTCAAATGAAAAAATCTGTTCTTTGAGAACCTTGAAATGTATTGGAAACTACATTTTTGTAAATTTTGCTTATATAAAACGTACAATGAGGTCATTCATCTGTTACTAAATTTGTTGCCTAGAGATTGAGCTTAATTCTAGCGAAAACCACGTGAAATTACCTTTATATATTGTATTACTAATATGAGTTTAACGAATTTCACAATTCTAATTATAATAGATCTTAATATCATACCATATCCGAATAAATCGTCATCTTCCATAACGCTTGAAGGATGGTTTCCCATATGATATTATTTTGCTCCTACTATTTTAAAAGGAATCAAAAATATTTGAAACTTGTTCATAAGGATATTTTTACTAATTTTTAGCACTCAAACTAATTTTTTTGTTAGTTAACAATTGTTTTAAACACAAATATAATAAACAAATTACGTAGATAAACTTATTTATATTTGTAAATAAATACTTATAACTTTCTAAATATATATTTAATTATTGGCTAACTTTATTTCAATGCACAAAATGTCAACTTAAAATTAAAATTTCCTAACAATTAATCAAATGTTTAATAAGAAGTTAGTTTAATTTGCACACTTTCTTTGTTGAAATTTCTTGGTTTTTAGTTTTTAAGAATTTCACGAAAAAAAACACAAAACAAAAACATATGACAGTCAGGGCTGAAATAGAAATTCCTTTAGAAAACTTGACACTTGACCAAAATGTTGGAAGTGTAAGCCCTGCTTAAAATTCAACATAAGCTTTAAAACATTACTGCTATTCCCGTAAAAGAAAAAAATACGGGCGTGTAAAATTTAATTTAAACATTTCTTTTCAATTAAATTTGCTGAAAACATTTTAAGTAGTAAGAATTAATTCGTGATTGAACTTAATATAAAATTTTCTTTGAAAACAGCATGAAATATTTATCGTAGCTCAATGAGAAAAGGAAAACTGGGAAATACAAATCATTTCCATAAAATACCGATCATATATTTGTCAACTAAATTACATGCGATTACCAAAAATACGGACTCGTATGAATTCCCGTAGCGAAGCTGAATTGTTTATTCCAATACGTTATTAAAAATTGGTACTGCCATGTGTTTCCAATTCGAAAATTTGATGAGGATTTTTTATGACCGAAATTCGAAACCTGTTTCTCATTAGCATGTAAACGATTTTAAAAAATTTTTAATCGTTTAATGGTTTTGGGGTTGATATTTTTTTGATTCCAAATTCAAAACTTATGTTGCCGAAATACATAACAATTTAATAAATTTATTTATGCCTGACAAATATGTGATTAATATTTTGATGGAAATGATTTGTATTTCCTAGTTTTTCTTTTCTCATTGAGCTATAATAAATATTTCGTGCTCTTTTGAAAGAAAATTTCAAATTAAGTTCAACCACGAGACAAAAATTAAGAAATAACTCAGTTGTCATTTCATGACAATCAACCAATTTTACATTTCGTTCGTTTGTTATGTACAATTCTCAACTATAAAAAACAAATTTACAAAAACAAATTAATAAAAAAAGTTTGTTATACTTGCAAGCAAATGAAATAAGATAGTCACGATTCTAATTTTAGAATAACTACATTAAAAAATAAGTGAGCTATCTTTTGACAAGGTCAAAGTATATTTTGTCTTTGAAGAGACTTTAAATTCTCTTTTTTTTATTTTTGTTTTTGACAAAATAGGATTACAGTGTAACAAAAATTAATAAGGTTTTATTACTTTTGTAATTCTCTGATTAATTAAAGAAAATCTGTCAAAGAAAAAAAAATTTACCGATTTTCAAATTCGTATGTATAGTAAAGTAAATCAATTTAGTTAAAACATAGTATTTTTTTTGTTTCTTGAGGGGATCTTTATACGGAGGGGTATTCATAGATTTTAGAGTTGATACATTAAAATATTTTCTTAAGACTGAGATCAATTTAAAAATATCAATAAATCAAAAAACATATATGTAATTCATTTAATATGTATAATAAGCTCAAATTTGCGTTTCACAGCATTGCAAATGTAACATCCCTATAACATTGACAGTTTGTGCAATGTAGCAAACTAGTGCGATGCATCCATTAAAAATTTTTCATTTCAACCTAATTGAAAACGGCAACTCTTGCTAATGCTTCAAAATATTGACCCGTTTGTTTTGGTTCTGAAAGAATTGTTCACCGGTAAATGTTGACCAATATTATTTAATTTACGATTTAAGATTATAATCATTTCCACCTTAAATAAATATTTCAACAAAGGTAAATATGAGTGAATTTATTAAAAATGAAATATTTGGAAAATATCAAGATTACCTCAACAACGAGCAGGAATTACGTGAAGTAAGAATATTTTATTAAAATAGCTTCATATTCATTATTAAAAATTTTTTATTTTTTTTTTTAGAAAATACGTGTTGTTACTCGAGGTAAGTTATTTACTGCTTTAAAAAAAAAAATCTCTAATTAAAACTATTTCATGTATAATATCAATAGCACAAATGTGTAATAAGCATTAAGAATAACACTTAGTTTTTGAAAAAATTATTTTTATTTTACTTTATGTTTTTTGTTTCCATATAGAATTGGAACAACACAGCAAAGAAGCAATAATCCAATTGCAAGTAATTCACAGTGATATTCAAAATAGTAAGTTTATTTTGTTTTTAAAACCTTACGAATTAATAATTCCCATTTCTTGTGCTATGTAGTTGGAAACGCTTGTATAGAAGCAAGAAAAATTTTCGAAACCTGTAAGAACAGTTATTCAGATCTGGCTAAACTTGTCCCAATTGGTCAATATTATAGATATAACGATCATTGGTCATGGACAACACAAAGGATAATATTTTTAATTGCTTTAACTTTTTATTTAGAAACTGGAACATTGGTATCAAGAGAAGAAGCAGCAAGCATACTAGGCCGTGAGTTTTTTTTTTTTTTTTGTTTTTGTTTTCCTTATTTAAAGAAAGAACGAAATCAACTTATTATTTGTCATTTTTATTTCAGTTAAAACTTCACAACAAGAAGGCTTCAGTTTAGATATTGAAGATTATTTAATGGGAGTTTTGCAAATGGCTTCAGAACTTTCACGTTTTGCGACAAATTCTGTCACTCTAGGTGATTATGAGCGTCCACTTCAAATTTCTCGATTTATTGGTGATTTAAATTCTGGATTTCGTTTATTAAATTTAAAGAATGATTCTTTACGTAAACGTTATGATGCTTTAAAATATGATGTTAAGAAGGTTGAAGAAGTTGTCTATGATATCAGTATCAGAGGTTTGAAGGCTTCGAACCCAATATCAACTTCAGAAAAACCAGCTGAATAAGATTATACAAAATATTTTTTATATGAAATCAAACTAATATTTTTCTCATTTTTATAAAATATTTAATGTATTTCTATTATTTCAATAAAGTTTCAATTTTCATAATTAATTTTGTTTTTTCTTTTTTTTTTTTGTTTGGAAATTATATTATGTTTCATTGGTATAATATTCTAATATATGTAATGTATATAAATGGTATTTTTCTTGTTTAATTTTCTTTTTTTTTTGTAAAATCTACTACTTTGTTCCGTATTATAATAAAATTTTCTGTATTCGAAGACATAAGATTTAAATAACTATATTTGTGAATTTAAATTGTAAAAAGGTTCATAATAAAGTAGTATTAAAATACATTATAATTAATTGGGTGAAAGCAATCAAAAAATTAAAAAACAACAATACATTATTATATTCATATAGAAAGCGTAATATAAATTTTTTCTTTATTAAATTTTTTTTACTTAGTTTTTTTTTTTGCACTCGTTAATTATGTTTTTATTATTTCCACGCAAAAAAGGAATTAAACTAACAAATAAGAAAAAATAAAAATTAAAATTGTACCCATATATTGCAAATTAATGCATTATATAATATAATGAAAAATAAAACACAAATATTAAATTTTATTTTTATAGTATAAAAATTGCTTTTCTTATTTATTTTTGTTTTTTTTTTTATAATTTGAAAGAATAATACATTTAGTTAATATTTTTATTAATAATACATAATAATTTCTTAGTTTTGGAAACAAAACCTAATAATAAATCAAAAAGGTATATTAAAAATTTTTGTTTTTTCTTCATAAATCTTGAAATTACAAAATTAGAATATAAGTACTCATGCGATTCGGGCAACTATAAAATGTATATAGCTATATATCAAAATAACTTATTTGTTAGCATAATAATATTTTTATTACATTATTCCATAGTATATTTTATTAAAAATTTTTTCATTTTAAATTTAAACCGTACTTAAATTTTAACTAAAATTGTTTTAATTTACTTAATACGATGGCTTTTTCATGTAATGTAATCATGTTTTTAATTTCTTTAATTTTAATGTTTTTAATTTCTATATTAACTTGACGTATATATATATATATATATATTATATTAAGGTTAAAATTAAAAAAAAAAAAACTATCTATATTTTGCAAACTGTTTTTTTTATGTATTATGGTAGATTCAGGCATCCTTTGATTTTTTCTTAAAATAACTTTTGTATGTTGTTAATAATATCCATATAATGTAATTAAAGAACAAAAAGAATTAAAAAAAACGATGTTAAGACCATATTTATAAACTGACCAAATTTATTTTTTTATAATTTCCAAGTTTTAACCCTAATATTATATACATACATAAATATCTCTTAAACATATTAAGAATCGATGTCAATTAATTTTTATTTTTTGGTCTACACTTGTCTAAAAAGAACTTTTAACGAATATTTAATTTGAAAGAGGTACATACAGATATTGGGAAAATAGAATAAAAACTTTAGTGACTCTTATTAAGACTATGTACCAGATTATCGAGGGATAATTGTAAATAAAGCAAAATTTTTTCAATATTCTCTTCTCATTTGCTATTCTTATAAATGATGAATCAATATATCTTATAAAAATAATAATAATATGAAGAAATTAAAAATTAGAGCACAAATTACATAAATTATATTGAAACTATTTAATTTTATTTAATAAATTTACCCTCTTTTATCTTTTTTGAAAAGTACAATAACAATCGACTCATATTTTAAAATTAACATTTTCCTTAATATATTTTAAAATATTTTTTATAATGAAAAAAATTTTTCAGAAAAATCTATCTGAAAAATACTTTTCAAAAAAGGATTAAAACTCGGTATTATGCCATATTGAATTCTAACAAAAAAGGGAAAACAAATTAATGATTGTCAATTCAATAAATTATTTTTTTCGTACAAAAAAAAAATTATATTATTAAAATATAATATACATAATATTATTATATAAAACTTCATGCTCATTAATTATATTATTTTATATTATAAGTATGAATAAGAATAAACAAAAAAAAAAGTCGGAATGTTTTTTAATTGAAATACGATATGATTTTTTTTTTAAATTGAAATATTTCAAACATTTCATAAGAAAATTAATTGATTTTACAAAAAAAAAAATACTAAAAATGAAAAATCGATTTTATTTCAATTAAAATAATTAATTATCTTCACAATTATTCATATGACTTAGGGCAACTAGCGAACTTTTTGCTGTCAATTTTGTATTCTTCTTTTCGGTAAAAAAAATTATTTTCTAAAGTGAGAATCTTTCAAATTTCATTTTGGTAAACAACCAAACATAATATTTTGTGAATAATTGCATAAAATACTGATTTTGTTATTTGTGTAAGTACATTAGCTTTCTTGAATTGTAATAACATATAAACTAATAAAATTATAATATTACGGCTAAATCAGGAATAGATGTAAAAACTTTAAAAATTTACATTTGATTCTAGAAAACTTTTAATTTTAGTAAAATATAAATAGAAACATAAAAGAATCGTATGAATCTTTTATGTTTGTTTCTATTTTTAAGAAAAGAGAAAGAAACGTAAAAGAATCGTATTTCAGCTTTTCATTATATTTTTATTTTTTCATATTTTTTTATTTAATTTTTAAAATAGGAATATAAATTCAAATAGAATAATAATATCTTCATTAATATATATTTCAATTTCAATTTAATATCAAATGTACCACAATATAATAAAGGAAAATATTCTAATATTTCACAAATTCTTATGAAAGAACGATTGAAATTGACATTTTTACAAAATATCGTAATACCATAGCAATTTTTTTTTTTTCATTATTTGCACGACATACAGTCGAGCACGTTTGCAACATGCACATAGCAAAACTCCTTTATGTGCAATAAAAAATTGATAAATGCACAAAAAATCATGCTATTCAGAGCGTGTTCGACGTGTGTACATAAACGTGTTCGACTGTATTACTTTTGTATACTTCAATAAACCGGATCTGTCTACCGGATTATGTGCTCTACATTAATATTTTACTGTCAGCTTACTCAAAGCACCATAGACAAAATAAAAATGTTTTTTTTTTTTCTTTTATAACGTTTTATAAAATTTCTAGTTAGAATGTTTGTTTTAGGTATATACATTATATATTCACTTACTTTAATCCAAGTAAAATAAGATCACAAAAACAAAAAAAAAAGTATAACAAAAATTTTCTTGACAATTCCAAATCAAGCAACCTAAAATCTTTGAATATTTAATTATTTGACTAATTAAGTTTTTTCAACTATGTCTTATAAGTTTTTAATATTTTATTGGAACAACTTTTTGTTTGGCAAAATTTTTTAACGCAATGGAAATTGTTGATTTTTATGATTTTTTTCTGTTTCTTTTTTATTAATAAGTGAATATATAAAAACTATTTAAGTGTACTTCCCATTTCAAAAGTTTATGTGGAAAAATTGTAAAAATAATTTTTATTTGATGTTGCATTAAACTGGTGCTCACTGTTTTTGCAGGAAGTTATGTTTTAAATAATTAATTTAACTAAAGTTTAATTGTAAGCTCAAAACTCTTAGAAAAATATGAATTTAAATCGTTCTAAATTAAGAAAATTTTTTTTGTGAAAAATATTTAAAATGTTGGTAGAATATCAAAAAAAATCATAAATAATTATTGAATTTCTTGATATTTCAATTTAATGATTTAATTGAGAAAAGTTTCTTCTTTTAAAGCCGTTATACAAATTAAAATATACATATAATAGGAATTAGGAAAAGAAAGAAAGATTAAAACGAGAGTTATTAGAGTGTGAAAAAAACTAGAAAAGTTTACTTTAATTAAAAAGTAAAACCCTTTTTAAATTCGTTTAGTTACTTTATTTGTTCTGTATTTTTATTTATTTTGAAGCTGGTAACTACGTAAAAGCAGATAAGATGGCACTTTTCAGTAATATATATATATATATATATATACTTTTTTTAATGTAAATGTAATTAATTTTATTAATATTATTTAATATTTTATAATTTTAAAGTTGATTCATTTAAATGGATTTCATTTGGAAAATTAAAAATATAAATAAAAATTATAAAATTTATAATTTATAAAATTATTTTATTGAACATTAAAAAAAAAGAAGTTATTATACAGAATAAAATCAAAACTTTATTATTACTTATTTATATTTTATATATATAGCTTTTTAGCTTTTGTTTTTGTTTGTTTTTTTTTTGTTTTTTAATTTATAATGATTGGAATTATTATATTTATATATATATATATATATAAATATATATTTTAATTAATAGTTTTTTTAGAAATACGTGTTATTATTTGTTTTATTTTTTAGAACCGCAATTTTTGATTGTTTAAATTTATTATTTTTCAACTTATTTTTAATATTAACATTATTTATGTGTTAACTAATTAACAAAAAATAATACAATATATATATATGTATATGCATAAAAAATTTTATATGCATTTTATATGAAATATATTTTTAATTTTCTAAAAAAAAGTTAAAAATGATTTTGAAAGCAAGATAATAATAATATAAAATTTCAAAAAAAAAAATTAATATTAAATCTATATTAGAGACGAAAATTATGTATTATAAAATAAAAAAATATCTGTTTTTGGAAATGATTGTATTTTTTAAAATTAGAAATTAGCTAAACGACAATTAAGAATTGTAGATAATTTAATATATACCAATAAATTTAGCAGTATTAAGAATAGAAAACAAAAACATTAGGAGACAAAAAAAAAAATTTACAAAATACTTAAAATTGATAGAACAAACCAAATTTATTTTGTAATTAAAAAGTAACAAAATAAATGGAAAATTTGTTAAATTTAAAATATGCCGAGGAGAAAAAAAAAATTTTTAAATGGAATTACTTTAAATTTTGTTCTATTTAAAACAGCATAATATGGAATAAACAAAATATAAAAATTATTTATTGATGATATTTAAATAACATAAATATGAAAGAAAATAAAAAGCCAAGTTAAAAAATAAAAGAAAATAAATTTTATAATTTACTCTCCAAATTCAAAAAATAATAAATGCATTTTGTTATGAATTACTATAAAATTTCAAAGTATTATTCTTATTATAATTATTTTTTATATTTTATAACTACAATAAAAATATCAATTAAGAATTGGATTTTATTTGATTTCATGTTTACATTTTTATTAGAATTATTTTAATTAATATTCGTATAATTGTTATTTATAGTTTTATTTTTTTTTATAATTTTAATATTAAATGTTTTTGTTTTTTAATTTGTTTTTGTATTATATGATTTTAAAGACTTAATATTATTAAAAAGATTTGTTGGTTTTTTTTTTTCTTTTATATTTTTTTTTTGTTGAATTATTTAATTTTCATACATATAATAAATATAAATGTATATATTTATAAATGTTTTAATTGTATTTCTTTTGTATTAATAATATTATAAAAATGATTTTTTTTTTAATTTTATTGATTTAATAATATAATCAACTTGTTTTTTTATTTTAAATAACTTTTTCTTATAATGAATAAAAAATTTTTTTTTTGTTTTTTTGTAATTTATTTTTTTTTTTATATTTTTTGTTGAATATTTATGTAAAATATTTTTCTTATACAATTTTTTTTTAATTTTTTTACTTTGTTTTTTTTTTTTTCTTTTATTTGTTTTAATTTTGTAATTATTAGGAATAATTATTATTTTATATATGTATATATTATTAATAATGTTGGTTACAATGACCATTGATGTTGTTATGTCAATTGCCTGAATCTTCACCATCAATTGATTCATCCTGTACTGATGAGCTATCATCACCACCTCCTCCACTACCCCCACCAGTAACCCCACCGGCACGTTTAGATGAAATACGTGACGAACTCAAGCCAATACCGCCAGTTGTACGTCTAAAAAAAAATATAATTAATTTTAATCATTATATAAAATTAGTTTTTTTTTGTTAACTATTTTAACGGAAATGTGTTAATGATTAATGGACATAATGTAATGAGCATATAGGGTCATAAAAAACAGGAAAATATGTATACTTAAATTCTATAAAAAAAAAGAATATTTTATAAGTGACAATTATGAATTTTTATTAGTACTAAATCGAAATATTTTTAAACGTAATTTATGAACAACAAGAAATAAATTTTAAAACAAATAAAGTAAATAAATTTAATTATATTAAATTTTAATTAATTACATTATATAAAAATAAATTTACTTGAGTAAATTTTATTTTTGTGATAGAAAATTCAATTATTTTAAACTTTTATTCTTAATTTATAAATGAAAATCTTCGATTTATGTAGTGCAATTAAAAAATCATAATTGGCCCTTTATAAATTATTATTATAAAATATTTATATAGATTTAATTAAAAACAAGTTATTTGATTGAGAAGAAATCAGATTAACTTCTTTTTATAAACAAAATAAAATATTTCTTTAAATATCATGCAAAGTAAAAATTATTACAATAAAATAAAATCATTTAAACTAATAAAAAATCAATTAAGGCGTAGAGTACATACTTAATTCAAAAAAAAAAAAAATAAAACTAAAAAAGGGAAAACAAAAGAAAATTTTAATTACATAGGTACATTGTTTTAAAATTATTTTAATACAAATTTAATTATAAAACACAATTAACAAAAAAAAATTTGAAAATCGAAAATAAATAAAATTATATAGACAACTTATAACTTAATGAAGGTGAACAATTTCTAACAGCGCCAAGTTTCTGTTTTTAATGATTTAAAATTTGAAATTTATTTTCTTTTTCTTTACTTTTTGAATAATACTATTAGTATCTTATTGTAATCAAACGCTTATTCAATACGAAGAAGATTCATACAATTCCCTTTCCAATTTTTTTTTAATATATAATTTTTAATAAAAAAAAATTTATTTCTTTCTTAGAATATCTAGTTTTACTTTCTGCTTAAAATTTATTTTTCTTTGCCTCTTAAATTATTTTTCTAATTTTAATAATAAATTATTGGAACAGTAATGTTCTATATATTAAAAATAGTGTATTTCTAAATAAAAATTTTTTTTTTGCTTCAAAATAATTTCATTAAATAATATATTAATATTAATACAAAATAGAAATAAAAATAGAATCTTTCAAAGAAAAAAAAAAATTAAAAATCTGACAATACTATTATGATTCAGTTATATTAATACATCTAGTTAACTAGCAATAAATTCTTCAAAAAGAATTAAATATTAAAAAATATCAAAATAATGCCGAAAGAAATTTATACATTATTATTAATTATATAATAGTTATTATTTTGGAAAATATTACGTAAAGGTTAAATTATTTTTGACATTTCATTTTATTATTAGTTTGTTATTAAATATATAAAATATTTGAATTAAACATTTAAAAATTAATTTTTAAGGTAAATCATATTTTTTAATTAAAAAATAAAATTTTACAAATTATTTCATTTTCCTTTTATTTTGAAATAGGGTTAATAAACATTTTAGAAATAAGAAACACATGAAAATATTATTATGTATGTATATTGAATGAACTCACTTACCAAATAACTAAATATAAAATTATATGAAAAATATTATGAAACTATACATATAATATTTTTTACTTTATATAAAATCAGGTATAATGTAATATTATAAGTTTTGTGACAGCCATAAAATTCAACAGGGATTAATATAATAAAATTTAACATCAGAATCAGATAATGATTTTGAAATTCTATTTGGAGAAACTGTAAGCGAATAGTTTTAAAAAAGGAAATAATTAATATTAAATTTTAGGTTCGCATTTCTTACAATTGTAAACAATAAAATTATTAATAGTTTTATATTAATTTCTAACAATATTTTAATTTATAATATTATACATTATTAAAAAATTACAAAATATATTCTTAAGTTTTGGGCAAAAATTAATAATAATTTAATAAAAATTTCTGTACACATTATAGCAATAAATAAACGAATTAACATACCGATGTACTAAACATGAAATACTTAAAAATTTGTTAAAATAATTTTTTTTATAATAGATATTCGATTGTTTTCCATACTATTAAAGTTTTTACATTTTTTAATGTAAAAACTAGATAAAAATATTCTATATTTTCCTATATATTTTATATTTTCTTTTTTAATTTGGCGTTTCTATTATGAATATAATAAAATTCTTTTGGGCAAATTTTAATTAACAAATCAATTATTCAAGAGATTTTTCTTTTCATATCAATCTCAAAAATTCCTGGATTTATGAAACCCTTAAAAAAATTATTATATACAGTTGATAATATACAGTAATTCCTAGCTTATAGACTTTTTTGGAACCGAAAATTTCGGACTTTAAGCGAAAGATTACTGTATACAAATATATTTTTTTCATTAATTTTGATCTCTAGTGGAAAAATTACTATAGTTGTGCATTTTTTTTTTCAAACTAAGTGTTAATAATACTATCAATAAAAAATACTTATTTTACAAAATTAATTATAATATAATATAGAAACGAATTTATATTTAATGCTCGTTTCTGTAATACACGTAAATCACACAGTAAAAAACGGGAAGGAAAAGAAAAATGGGAAGAAAAAAAATTTGATTTTTTTTTTCTTTAATTTAAAAACAAAGGGTAAAAACTTAAATCCAAACCACAACAAGAAATCCATTAGGATTTTCATACTCGGTATTTGGAATTATAAAATTTATTTTAAGTAAATTTCTCTGGCTTACATTTTACTTACAGACCCTCGCAATTCATTATTAATTTAGCATCCTTTTTTGGTGAATAATTTTTAGCCTTTTCAGTTTCAGCTACTTGTATTGCTCTTTAATAATGATTTTTATTTATTTTTATTATTTTATTTTTATTCATATTGACTTTATAATTAAAAATTAAATATCTAATACCATAGTATTGTATGTATCTTTGAGAATTGTGACTTTTTTGGTAATTTTTCATGTTCATTTCTAATTTTATAAAGAAAATCACAAAATTATATTTCATGTTCAACAATTTAATTAAAGTTTAATTTAAAATTTTGAAGAAAGTCAATTACTATAATATTTATTGTAAGGTCAAAAATTATTGGTTCAAATGAAAATGTTTGATATAATTTTGTGGTCCTATTTCTATTTTATTGATTTAAAGAAATTTGTTGCATTTCTCCCGTACTTAACTACATATTAACATTTTTTTTTTTAATTTATCAAAAATATTGCTTAAAATTTGATAAAATTAAAAATAAACGTGATAAAATTATGATGTAAAATAAAAATTAGGTCAATAAAAATAATTGATTTAATTTATGTAAATGTTAAAGTGTTTCTTTTTTACTAATACGTTATATGTATTAACATCTTACCTTAATTTTGTTTTTAGTGAAGTAACTTCTCTTGTAAGTGCTTCATGACTTTCCAACATATCTTCATATTCGCGCTGTGCTTTTCGTTTTTGTGTTTTTTCTTTTTGAATTTCTTCTTCTGCCTCATCTAAATTCCGTTTAAGCATTTTATTTCGACCATTAAGCTACAAAATAATAAAAAATCAAATTTTAGAAATAAATTTTTTTTATATTTCTTTTTTTTTTACTTTTTCAATTTGCTCTTTATATTGATCTGCATGTCTTCTTTCATCTTCAATATTCATTGTTAATTCCTTTATCTTTTTATCCAATTTTCGATTGGATTTCTGTTGAATAAGACGTTCTTTTGTTTCACTCTCCAATTGCTCTTCTAAATTTGATATTTTTGATTCCAAACCGGCTATTGTTGCTTTCACTTTAGTACGTTGAGCTGTTTCAATTTCAGCTAATTTAGCTTTTAGCTCTTTATTTTGACGTTCCAACAGTGCTCTAGTATTCTCGTTCTTTTGTGAATTTGATTTTTCGGTTGCTAATTCGGTTGATAATTGTTCAATTTGTAATTGAGCTTTTCGACTACGATCTAATAGCACTTCTGAATTTGATTGTTCTTCCTCTAACTCTTCTTCTAATGTTGTTATTCTTGCTTCTAAACGACGTTTTTCATCGATCATTAACGAACCCTTATTTGTGTTCGCATTAATTTCTTCCAATAATTCTTCACGCTCTGTTTCAGCTGTTCTTCTAGCACGTTCAGAGCTAGCTAAATCTTCAGTTAATTGCATTACTTCGGCTTCTAATGCTTTAACTTTACGTTCAGCTTCTTTGCTATTAGCAGCCAATTCTTCTTTTGCTGCTTTTGCTTCTTCAGCATCACGTAAAGCATCTTTAACTTGACCTTGCAATTTCTTCGCATGTTTGAGAGCATCTTCCTTTACTTTATTATGCATTTCCATTGTAGTTTCCATTTCTTTTAAGTCACCTTCTAATTTTTTCTTCATAGCAACTGCAGTAGCACGTTGTTTTCTTTCTTCATCTAATTCGGCTTCCAAGTCGCGTAATTGTTTAACTAAACCGCGACGTTTTTCTTCGGCCTGTTCTTCTTTTGCTTGAATATCGCGTTCGAATTGTGATCGAAGTGCTTGCATATTAACTTCCAAGCGTAATTTAGCATCCTCCGTTAATTGTAAGTCATCTTCAAGTTCTTCGTTCTGGGCTTTTAATTCAGCAAGTTGACTTTCAAGAGCACGTTTAGCTTTTTCTAATTCATGTACATTCTTATCTGCAGTACCTTGGGTATTGGCCAAATCGTCAAGTTCGTTTTGTAAACCTTTACGTTTTGTTTCCAAATCTTCAATTTTTTCATACGCTTCATCTAATTCTCTAGTTAGTGATAATACTTTTGTTTCTTTTTCACGTGCTTCCCGCTCAGCAGTGTCACGTTCTTGAGCAATTTGCTCACTGATTGCTTTTTCCTCTGCTAAAATTTTGTCAAAGTTCTTTTGTTTCTTTTCTAGTTCCAAAACCTTAGTACGCTGAGCTTCCAATTCAATTGTAGCATCTTCCAATTCAGATTGGATTTTCTTTTTGCTTTTATCTAAACGATCATTCTGTGCAATAAGTTCTTTGACTTGACGTTCTAAAGCTTCAATTTCTTTATTAAGACGCTTCTTATTTTCTTCTAACTCTTTAACAACATCAGAATCTTCTTCAGCTTTCTTTTTATATTCTTGCATTGTAACATTAAGTTCAGAAAGCTTTCTTTCAAAGTTCTTCTTAGCTTCTTCGTCTTCTTCTAATTGTTCTTGTAATGCCTCTTTTTCAGATTCTAATTGCCTTATTTTTGAAGATAAAGATAATTTTTGTCGTGTTTCTTCTTCTAACAATTGCTGAGTTTCTGTTAATTGGCTTTCAATAGTATTGACCGATTTTACGGCCGCTGAAGCTTTCAAATCGGCTTCTTCTAGTTGTTGTGTAATATTTTCACATTCCTGTTGGAGTTTTGCACATTTTTCTTGCAACTCCGATCTGGCACGTTCAATTTCGGCTAATTTTACCTAAAAAATAATACAAATTAATTAATTTCAATAAACATTATAATGTCAAAGCTTTTTTTTATAAAAGTAAATTCTAAATTGATTTTTTTTACCATTCAATTATTATAATCTTTTTTCTCCAAATGGAAAACCAAGAATGGTATTGAATTTCGGTTGTTACAGAAAAATGGATAAATAATAAGATAATTAAACCGCATTATCTTGCAAAAGTTAGTATGTATTAGATATTAAAATATGGAGCGGGTTTAAATTTTAAGAAAAAAGATAAAGTAAAATAAAAAATCAGTACGTTAAAATTTTTTGTTGCTAAGCACAATAAAATATTGTTGTAATGTTGTTTGTCAAGAAAATTTTACTGTAATTTTAATGCTTGAAACTAATTTTCAAATATATATTTCATTCGATATACTTGATAATTACTTTAAAGCTCTATAAAAGAGGTTTAGTTGTAAAAGAAAAAAAACCAAAAAAGAAAAAATTACCTGCAGCTCTGCGATTTGCGATTCTGCTTGTTTTCTTCGGCGATCATTTTCTTGCCTAGAGCTATTTACATTCCTTAATTCTGTTGCTAAGTCAGCATTCTCTGCTTCTAAGGTCTGCTTCGTTTTCTCTAAAATGCCCTTATTTTTTTTAAGATTTTCTAATTGATCTGTGATAACATTGATTTCTTGAGCATGCTTATGTCTCATTTCTGACAAAAATCCTTCATGATTTTGAGTTTCTTCTTCAAGACTTTTCTTGAGTGTAGCTAATTCCTGCTCTCGTTTAGAACGTAGTTCTTGTTGAGCTTAAAATTTTAATTATAAGAATATACATAAAATTTTTTTTTTAAATAAAAGAGTATTAACATACCAGCAGTGGTATCTAAAGAATCCAATAGTTCATTTTTAAGAGCTTCCAATTCTTCACCTAAATCACGACGTATTTTTTCAGCTTTAGCACGTGCTGCTTTTTCTGCTTCCAAATCTTCTTGTAATTCGACTAGTTGTGATTCAACCTCACGCTGTATTTTTTGTGCCGCCGCTTTAGCTGCAGATTCTTCATCAACCCTCATTAATGATTGCGTTAACTCTTCTTCGCGTTTGGCTAATTGAGTTTGAAGTTCTTCAACCTGAACTCGACGTTCGTTGAGTTGTTCCTTAAGATCAGCAACTTCAGTTTCAATTTTTCTTTTCGTTCTGTCAGATTCTTGGCGTTGTTGTTGATCTTTATGTAAACGTTCTTCTAATTCGGATATGGTCGCTTCATGTTTTGCTTTCAGTTTTAATAAATGTTTAGCTTTTTCTTCTTCTTCAGCTAAAGTTTGGGATAAGTCATTGGCCCGTTCTTCTAAAACCTTTTTTTCTTTAAGCAGTTTTTGATTATGATCATTAGTAACGGCATAATCTTCTTCAAACTTCTTAATTTTTGCATCAAGTTGAACCTTCTCTAATTGAAGTTTTTGACGTGCGGCTTCTTCTTCTTCAAGCTGCTCCTCTAGATCTTGAATATTTAATTCCAATTTCTTTTTGTCATTAGCTAAAGTTAAGCTACGTTCTTCTTCTTCTTCAATACGAGCTTCTAATTCTTGCATCATGTCTTCTAATTCTTGTTTACGAGCCATGAGGCGAGATCTACTTTCTTCAGCTTCTGCACATAATTCGATTTCTGCTTGTAATTGCTCTGCTAAAGCAGTTTTTTCTTCCAAGGCTTGCTGATATTTCTTTTCATATTCTTGTGTGTTTTTAGAAAGTACTTCTAATTTTTCGCGAACTTGCTTAAGTTCATCTTCCTTTTGAACTAATTTTTCTTCTTGTTTTGTAACTTCTAAGAGCGGTTTCACTTTTGTGTACAAACGCCACCATTGCCAATTTCTCAATTTTAGATAAGCAGCACAATTTCTTTGAATGATTTTAATGGCATTTAATTGTTGTAATCGTTTTTGATAGTTTCTCCTGGCTAGAAATCCTCTGCAGAATGCTTGGAAATTTACAATCAAATCAGTTATTTTATAATCACGCTCTTCTTCTAAATGGGCTAGAACACCAGCACGGAAAAATATTTTTGATTGACCAACTCGGAACAAATTTTGATCTAATTCTAATGCTTGAATCATTTTTTCGCAAGCTTTTTTACCGTCCATAAATCCTTTTGGTATGACGTTTGGAGTAAGAAGCTCGTAACGTTGTCGGAATTCCTGGAAAGGAATGCGATTTGGGAAGCCTTGGCGGCAAATTCGTATTCCTTCGAGAACACCATTACAACGTAATTGATCAAGAACTAGAGGAGCATCAATTTTACCAGCACGCTTTTCATGATTTGGAATTATACATCTCACAAAATTAGGATTTGTATTTCGTAATGTATCCATTAATTTTGCTAATTGTTCTTTATAAAGGTGTGATACTGTTCGGAACATACCTTTACGTGTTCTGGCACCAAATTGAGTATCAGTCAAAGCTTGTTGCGCCATACCAACAATTTCAGCATCTTTCCATATATTAACAACAAATGGATCTTGTGATGCTTGTAATAATGATACAACATTTTCATTCAATGGATCCATGTTCTTCATTAACCACTTCTCAGCTGAATAATCAACCTTGCCAGCGTAATGTACGATAGCAAAATCTGCAACGCCACGAAAATCGGTTTTCATGAATTTTGGATGCATTGAATGAGCTGATACCAATTTATCAACAAATGTTTTATCAGTTGCTTTAGGGAACCAACATTCTTCATCCAATAAAGCCATAATTCCACCAGGTTTATCGATTAAATCGATTGTCGGTTGTAAATCTAAACCAAAATCAATAAATTTCCATTCAATACCTTCACGTTGATATTCTTCTTGTTCCAAGATAAACATGGTGTGATTAAACAGTTGTTGAAGCTTTTCATTTGTATAATTGATACATAATTGTTCAAATGAATTTAATTCAAATATTTCGAAACCAGCCATATCTAATATACCAATAAATGAGGCACCTTGTCTTTTTGTTCTATCTAATGAACGATTTATTCTATTTACAAGCCATTTAAACATTCTTTCATAACATGCTTTCGCTATTGCTTCAACAGCAAATTCAACTTGCTCTTTTGTTTGTGCTTTTGTAACAAAATCTCTACCAACTTTAATACGTGGAGTTAAAAATGCTTTTGTCATATCAGTTACATTTAAACCTAATAAATGGGCAATTTTTTGAGCTACTGTATTATCTGGTAATGTAGCTTGATCACTATTACGTTCCTGACGGAATTTCATGCACCCAAATAATAATACAGCACTAACAATACGAAATATTGAATTAAAATCATCATTTGTCATTCCCATAATATTCATTGATTTAACAGTTGATTGAAATTCAGCATAATCATCAACACCAGGTACTGGAACTGAACCATTTGATAAAAAGTTATATGTTTTTATATCATCTAATATGAATTTTTCTTTTTGTTCAGGTGATGCACCAGCTAATAACTGATAAAATATATGGAATGTTCTTTCATCTTTGGCCTGACGAATGGCACGTGATTTTTCTAATAGATATGTTTCAATATTGGCACCGGATATATAACCAGATGCATCAAAATTAATACGAATAAATTTACCCTTAAAAATGAAAACAATATAATAAGCAAAAAAAAAAAAAAAACAAAAAGAAAAAATTTTTAATTAGAAATTAAAGAATATTTTTAATAAAAAAATTGTTTTATTATAAAAATCATTTCGAAATTTTATTATCTTGTGTTGCAAAGTTTAAAAAATAACTTTAATCATATTTTAAAGCTAATTTTTAATTTCATTTAAAACTGCAAATTTTTGACTAATTTTAGATTTTATAATAATAGGCACGCTGGCCTGATTAGTATAACATTAAGGTTTTTTTTTTAATAAAATTTGAAAATACGGTGTACATTTTTTAGATTTGTTCTTTGTAAATTTATGAAGTTCATTTTTATTTAATTTGCATTGATTTAACATAATTTTTTTAATTAAATTAATTAAAGTCACAAAATATTTTAAGATATTTCAAAACAATTTGTTAAATTTAGGTTTTTTGTTCTTTAATACTTACAAAACGTGATGAATTGTCATTTTTAACAGTTTTTGCATTACCAAATGCTTCTAAAATTGGATTGGCTTGCAACAATTGTTGCTCAAGTTCACCCTAATAAAAATATAATAATAAAAAAAAAGAAAAGAAAACAAAATACTTTATTAATTTTACTGTTATGGTATTTTTTTTTTGAAATCAACAAAAAAGAATATACAAAAAATTTTTTTTTATTGAAATTTGGGTAACGTTTCCGCAAAATTAATAAAATAAAATTAAATTTTAATAAGGTCTCATGCAAAAAGCAAAAATATAGAAGAGGCATTTTTTTATAAAATAATACCAATACCCAAGTAGAGATGGGTGTTTAAAGTTGATTTTAAATTTTTAAAATTTTGAAACAACAGCAAAAATAAAACAAAAATTTAAAATTACAAACACACAATATACATTAGGAAAATAGTGTAAAAATTAATAATCGTGTACATTTTTTTTTTAACCCTTTGATTAAATATGGCAAGATTTGTGGCTATATAGGAAAATACATAACATGCTTTAAAATTTTTTTAATTATTCTTTGTCATTACAAAATTAATTGAAAATCATATTATTAAACATGGATCATATTTTTTGTGCAATTAAAAAATAGTGTATTAAAAATCGTACAAATCTTAAAGGGTTAAGAGAATTATTCCAATTTTTCTTCATTGCAAATTATAAATTTTTTTTTCAAATGTTGATAAAAATTATCAATAAATTTACATTTAAAAATTTGTTGTAAAATATATTGCTGTATAAAATACACAAATAAAAATAAAATATCATTAAAATATAAAATAATTATAATTCGAACTTCAATTGTATTTAAGTACAAGCAGTAACAACGTTGAGTTGTTTTAATTTTTTTTGGAAGATTTATTGAAATAAATAATGTAAATATCGCAATACAACTGAAGAACAAAAGGATGACTTAATCAAAGGGACGAAGTCATGACAGAAAAATTAAATGATTCATAATCAATTGAAGTTGTTTTTCATTTTTACATTATTGAATTGTTGAATATGAAATTTTTTTAAATTTTTAAAATCTATGAATAATTTACAAATTAATTATTCATATAAATTTGTTTAATTTTTTTATAATTGGGGTATGGGTGCATAATAAAATTTGATCTACATGATTTAGTTAAAATTAATGACAAAAATTTTACATTAATTTAAATGTGTAGTATACACAATATATAAAATATTTCTAAATAGCATTATTAAAAGAAAATTTTAATTTCTTAAAAATCAAATTAAATGTGATTTAAATTTAATGCAAATTTTGGACTTTTAGATAAAAACTATCTTGATTTTGATAATTTCTAAAAGTTAATTTTACATAATGATTAACCAAAACGTTTCTAATTTACTTAAAGCTTTATCTTTGAAAGCAGTATTATTTGATTATGATCATCATGATTTAAAACTAGATCATTAAAAAATTAATACATATAAATGATAATGCAATGGAAGGCGAGTATATGCAAAGAAATAAAGAAAAGCAAAAATTAAGTTAATAAAAATAATAATTTATGTAGTAAAGAATTTCAAATTGATTTTATGCGTTCGATAATGTCATATACTAATTGTTATATTATTATATAAATTTTTTTGCTAATTTAAAATTGCAAAACAAGAAATTTGCTGTATATTTAAATTTAATTTAAAAATATTAAATGCATTGCATGATTTATTGTAATAAATATATTAAAAGTGGTTATTAGAAAATATTTTGACAATTTTTTAAAACCGTAAAGAACTAGTTGCTATCGTAAGTAAATCTAAATTTTTATTTTATTGTAATAAAGTGCAAAAAGATTAAAAAAAAATCATTTAATTTGATTTTTTAAAAATTTATGAAGAGTTATGTGTATATTATCATGTTCCCAGTAACGTATATAAGAAATATATATGTTAATATAATATAACATAATTCTTTTTTTAAGATTTGATTTCTTAATTTTGATTTATAATAAAATTTTTTGCAAATTTATGACAAAAGGAGCAATACCAAACGCAATATTAAATTTTTATAATTACATAATATATGTACATATATATATTTACAAACTTACAATCATAAGATATAAATCGATAATGCCAAGTACCCTTTGAATTCTTTTGTAATTTATTCGGCATTAAAATTAATAAAAAAACATTGTACAATTGTACTTTAAATGCTTTCAACAGATATTTACATTTGTGATGTAACCAATAATATAAAAAACAAAATGTCACGTAATTAATAATGTCAATATTGTCTTATCGTTATTGTTAACATTTTTTTTGGCATTTTTGTAATAAAAAAAATTAACTGTAAATTTTGTTTTTTTGTGCAAAATGAATAATTTTGAAGAGGATTACTTAATTTAATATATGTATGTATGTAAGTAAAATGCCATTTATAAAAATTATCAAAAATTTGTTGCTAACGCAATTTTCAACCGGTTGAACTCAAAACTTCTATACAAAAAGTTGATATGGAAAAAAATTTTTTTAGCATAAATTCTGGGTTGCCGTTTGGTTTAGTGATTGTCGACTGGCATTTGACATTATCGACTTCTCCTATAATTGATATTTTTAGTTTTTTAAGTTATAAAAAGCAAAACTGCATTCATTTTTTTATAAATAAATATTATTAATTGAAATAACTATATTTTTTAGTAAAAAATCACACAAAAAATTCAGTCAAAAAAAAAAAAAAAGGAAATAATTTTCTTTTAATTTGAATACTTTACCGCTAATGTCTTTTCTGTGTGCTGATTTTTTTTAATTGTTATTTAATTTTAACATTTATAAAAATAAGTTTATTTTTAATTTATAACATTTATTTTAACATTTTATTTATTTTTAATTATTATTTTATATTAATAATTTATTAAATATTTTTTATTATTACAATTTTTTTTTTTAATATTTTATATTTTTAAACAATTTTCATTTGTAGATGAATGAAGTATAAAAAAAGAAAATATAGTCAAAAAATGTTTTTTTTTTTTTTTTTTTAATTTATTTTTTTTTAATAATTAAATTTTTTTTTTTTGAATAAATATGCAATGATTTTCAATTATATTTTTATATAAAAATAGTTTTAATCACAAATGAAAAACAATAAATTTTTTTTTTTCAATAAAAATAAAATGCATGTGTATATGACGCGAAATCAGCATCACAGGTGAAGACAACAACAAGAAGAGAAGAACACAAGACACAACAGCAGGTGTTAATTTGTAAAAATTTGTTATCGTTGTTTTTTGTTTTATTTTTATTATAATTCAATAAAATATTTATTGTTTATTAATAAAGGAGCCGATATAATGATGATGTTGATGATGATGGTATGATTTTTTTTTTTGTTTCATTTTTATGATTGTTTTTTTTTTTATCACATATTAAATAATTTCATTTTTTTTATTATAGGTATTATTTTGTTTAAATGTTTTAGTAGCATAATTTGATGGTTATTACAGGTAAATTACAGGTAATATAGAGTAGTTAAAGCATTGTTACATAAAAATGAAAAAATATAATGATGATGATAAGAAAAGAGAAAAAAAAAAAACAAAAAAAAAATGTAAATAAATTTTATTTTGTTAGTAAATTTATGTATTTCGAATTTAAATAATAAAAATATTTTTATATATATATTTGTAAAATTAATTAAAATCTGAACAAAATTAAAAACAGTAAACAAAACAAAAATTAATTTTTTTTTTTTATAAATTATTAAAATATATATTATTATATACTTACAATAATTAAAGCTGGATGGGGACCCTGATATAATAATTTTGAATAAAAAATTTAATGATTTTTTTTTTTTTTTTAGATTTTTTTATTGTTTGAATTTTGAAATTATTTTTATTTTTGAAAAATAAAAACAAATTTAAAAAAAAAATCATAATTAATAAAAATCATAAAATTGAAGTTGAGAAACGCAGCGGAACAGAAGTTCAAATTATGAAAATAAAAAATAAAATAAAAATAAATTATAAATAACTTTCTTTTAAAAAATTATAAATGAAAAAAAAAAGAAAACAATAATTATTAATATTCAGCCCTATCATGCATTCCATTTGTAGTTTTGAAATTCGGAATTTTATAATTACCATTATGTATTATTTCCGAATTGCATATTGCTCCGAATATTCGCATTAGGGTAATCATAAATATTCGTAGTAAAAATAATTTTTTAAATTTTGAATATCTTCTCTGAGTTTGAGTTCCTGTAATACAGCTACCATAAAGGCAAATACATAAGTTCGTATTTGGTTAATTTTTTTTCCGTTTTTCAAAAAAAAATTCAAAAACTAAAACAAAACTGTAAAATTTCCCTTTTAAAAAATATCCTTTTGTATGAAAGTTGTTTACTCAAAATAGCAGCAAAAAAATATAAATAAATATTTGACAGTTGAAATAATAAATCCTGATTTTAACATTCCGAAAAATTATGCTGCCATTACTAATTCATAATCTGTTCGATAATGGAATTTTTGATCATTTTAAAGTCTACATCATAGAGTAGTTGGTAATTCGTAGGATTCTATACGAATGAAATGCATGATATGGACTGAATATTTTATTTTAAAATTCAATAAAAAAAAAAATTAATTATTAATATTAAAAAAGAAAATCATATTTAAATTAAATATATCAATATTATATGTATGTATGTATTTATTTGTATGTTTATAAATATGAAGCTACATATTTAATTGATATGATAAAATATGTAATTGTTTTTGTTTACGGTATAATATGAGAGTAAAATGTTATCTGCGTAATTTCTCTTAATTTTTTTCTATTGAATATTTATAAAGAATGGAATATTTAACCCTTTACTACATAAATGACTTTTGTGTCGCATAATATATTTTACAATATTTATTTTATTTAATAATATTTTTCTAATAGATATTTAATATTTTGTATATTCGACAGCAATAAAATTTAAAGGTGAAAATCATACCGTTTAAATTTAATTACAAAATTTGATTTAAGAATTTTTTTTACTTTATAAAAAAAAATTCATCTGCTGTTGGTCGAATATACCATGACTATAATATCTAAATTGTAAATAATTACTAAAAAAAAAAAAATCTTTCTTTATTAATGTGACAAAAATGAAGTATTGATGCAAATTTTTAAAATAAAATATTTTTGAAAATTTTGTATTCGATTTTTTGTGATAATATTTATTGCAAGAAAATTGTGTGTTCAATTTCCTAAAACAAATCTAATGGAGAATGTGAAATTTGGAATTTTAAAATACTAAAATTATTATAAATTGAGAAATTTAAGAATATTAAATTTAAGTGTATTTAATGAAAAAAAAAAAAAATAGAAAAAAAATATGAACGTGGTTTATATATTTGCATATCTGTACAAACTATTTATGTTGTGCGATTTATACAAGATTTATAACAAAAAATTTGAAAAGAACCGAAAATTCTAATTATTCTAAATCAAATTTTAATTTATTTTTTTTTTTTTATTATAGTTTTTATTATAGTTTACGTACACAAACAGATTCTCTTAAAATCACTTTCGAACATGAACAGTTTGTACAGGTAAATATATAAATCTAAAATGAAATCTTATATTAATATAATTTTATTTAAAATTAGGCAAAAGTGTAAGATACCCGAGTACAAAAGTTTTATATTATATTATATAGCTTTAAATGTATAATTATTTTAAAATTATTATAAGAAAACTAATAAATTGAGCGTCAAAATATGAAGTAATTTTATTAAAATTAATTATAAAATTTACTTTTTTTTTAATATATTTTTTAGAATTCTAATTTCAATAAAATTGTAATACGTATACTTTTGTCTCCATATAATTTACGTGAGCAACAACTCTTATTACCCTGTAGTACGAGTAGTTGGATGTAGACTAATAATGCAATTTTATAGGAAACATAACATGTTATGCAGTAGCAAAAAACTTACTTATAAATTATAATATTGAAGATTTTTTTTTTTGGGACGTTTATGTCCCATATAAAAATGTGAAGAAATCGAATAACTACTTCTCTACTCTTATATAGTTGACAGTATTATATACAAAAACTGTTATACGTTTATTGTGTTATACGTCCTTAAATGGAATAGTATTTAAATGTTTCATGAACTATAAATTAACAACTTGCATAATGAAAAAATTCACTATAATTCTATTCAATGTAATATTATGACAGCAAATTTTGACATAAACACATATTAAATCATTTTCAAAAATCAATCTTAAATATGGTATTATAATTTTAAAATGTATTCCCAAATGATTAATTCAATTTAAATTGGCGTATGTAATTATAAAAAAAATTTCACACTATTTAATAATATTATATAATTTTGAACATAATAATTATTATAACATTATCATTCTGGACATAATTAAAATATTTTTATAGCAATATAACAAAATACATATATAAATGTATTTTAAAAATATATTTGTTATTGAAAATTGTTGAAGAATATATTGGATGACAGAAAATGTAATATGAGACAAATATTAAATATAAGCGTAAACGCGTACTAACATACATACGAGTATATCAAGATTTCATTTGAATTCATTTACTATAATTACAATTAAAAATACATAAATTTTATTTTATATTTGTTTAACTTAAAAACACAATTAATTGACATAATTATTATTGAGATTCTAAATTAAGTAAAAAGAACTTTATAATAACTTAATAAAAAACAAAACTCATAATATTCAGTAATTATAACAAAATTAGAGATGAAAAAAAATCTCTTGGGAAAGTTATCATGTTATATAATCTATATAGTATATGATTAGGTGTACATATGTATGAATAAAATTGAATTCAAATCAAGTAAATTATTTAACATAATTTAATATATTTATGTACGTTAATATGTTATATAGACTCAAAAGTGTATAGATCACTAAGAGAGAGAAAAAAATTCTACATACATAAGTAAAATCATTTAATTGAATTATTAATGAATACCAAAATTCTTGTTCTAATAAAAACAGATTTTTATATTTTTATTTTTGGTCTTATGTAATTATAAAATTATAAATTTGGAAAATAGGAAAATTTTAAACTATTTTTGGATTTTCTAATGGCCTTTTAACATTTATCAATGGATCAAGATGTTTTATATTATATATTTTATTTTTCTTTCAATCAAATTATGTACATATGTAAGTACATATATATGTGAATATTGTGTTTTTTTTTGAAAAGCATAAGTTGCAGTCAAAACACTTGAAAAATTACAAATTAATTTATTATAATATTATTTTTTTTAATTTTAGAGGCCCCAAAATTATAGACAAATTGTGTTATTATGGGCATAATAATTTACTATGTATTATGGAATATAAATTGTTATACAAATGGTATATAATGTTATATGCGTGCATAATATATAAAATTTATGTATTTAAAAATTTAAAGCTTTCATTCAATCAACTTTGAAGTGTTGTAAACGATTAATTTATCTATTTTTTTTTATTTGATCTTTATATTTAATTTAATTATTATTAAGTTTTAAGTTTAGAATGTCATTTATTTTTTTTTGTATATAAAGAAGAAGTGTAATTTTGACATAATATGTGTAGTTTGAAAAATTTTGAAATATTTAATGAAGATTTCTGCTGCTTAGAATCAGAAAATTTATTGGCAATGAGAGACTATAAATAACTATACCTTTATGAAATTCAATTACAAAATTTCAAAGATATTTTAAAATAAGATCTTCTTAGATTTTCATTAGGTAAAATAGATTTGAAAAACATACGGAGCACTAATAAATATAGCTAATATAATATTGTAGATCATAATATTTTTACTAAGGTCAACAATAAAGAATTAGGGTTTTGTGTCACCAATTTTTTACTTCCTCGATAAGATTATTGTAATATTATATTCGTGTGGTGCTGTGTAATATTATATTCGTGTTCATATGCGGTGAACTTTTTTAAAAACACATATATTACAAGAAATTTAGTCAAAATGTAGTCACCTTATTTTTCGCAGGAATCCAGCGTAAAAATTTTTTACATTATGTACGTATTGAGAATAAAATGAGTAATTGAAAAATATCAGGTCTAAAGAAGAGAGAATTCTTCTTTTTTTTTTTTTATTGGTATGAAAAGAAAACTTCCTTTTATTCGGAATAAAATACTTTTTTTTTTATTTTTCGCTAATATATTTCGTGCGCTACATACAAAGTCAAAATCAAAGCTGATTTTCTTCTCTTATTTGATTTTCTACGAATTCTTATTTGAAAGCTACGAAAAAAAAAAGAATGACTTTGCAAATTATGTGTGTATACATTTATACAAAATAAAACCATTAACTGAGTCCTTCAATTTTCATTGCACATAACTTATAGATATATAAATTTTTTAATAAAGATACATAAATTTTCGAATATATGTACATAAAAATTAATAATATTTTGGATAAACATAGTAAGTATATCATATAATATCACATTTTCAATCAAAAATTAAAGCTTCGTTGAAAAAAAATTTTTTCTATTATAATCTGCCTTATAGTTGTCAAAATATAACAAAAGTAGAATATTTAATTTAAAGATTTTATAAATAGAAGTTGTATAAGAAAAGAAAATTTTATATAAAATATAAAAAAAAAAATCACTTTTTAAATTTTAATCCATTTAGAACAAAAATATTTATTGAGTTGATGAATCAGAATATAATCACACACACACACACATCCATATTTATAAAAGTTAAATAAATCAATAAACGGACAC